TCAGACAGTCTCTCTTTAAAAGGCCTGGGATGGGCAATGGATTCCTGATTGGGCTCCACATCTTTTATCATGGTTCTGCAGAGGAATTTTTGAAGGATGGGGTTTGAGAAAAAGAACTCCGATGTTCCCATCTCTAGTTTGACCTTGGCACATACCACGGCATTGTGCCGGGCAGGGAGATTTCAACAGGGTTCCAGGCCTGGGACAGGGGCAGAGAGCAAGCAGCTCCTTGCTTTGGAGGCCCTGCCCGCGCGCGCCTCCATTTCACAGCTTGTCCCAGGAAGGGAGACTCCTTGGGGATGCCCCCCACTTGGTGGTGGATGGTGTGTGAAGTGGTGGGAGTTGAGACCCGGGCGGGCGACTCAGGGGCCCTTTGTTTTCCTCACAGCTGGCTCGTGGCTGGTGGGGGACAGAGGCCTGAATGTATGCTAGGAGGGCCTCCTCACCTTTAGCCCTGGCACGTTATTCTCCTGGGGTTCTGAAGCATTTCTTAGCAGAGGGGAGAACTGGGAGGGGCTCGGGCTGGAATGGAGGCATCTGCAACGGAATGTCACACGGATCCCCAAAGATTGTGTTGGCCTTGGCCGTGACGGCCGTCCCTGGGAGGCAGCCGCATGAACACCCTCTTCCCCTCATTTTTGTTAATTTTAAATAATATGTCATCTTTAAATAATATGTCTTGATTTTGTCCTCAGTCCAAGAGTCACTTAGATGTCGCTAGTTTTTGGCTCTCGTGAATAAAAGCCATTGTGAACGTTTGAAAAAAAAAAAAATAAATAAATAAATAAAAGGCCTGGGATGATGGGGAAGGCGGGGCCAGAGGACCCAAGGTCGGGGCAGGGGGATCCCGGGGCGTGGATCCGGCCGGGCCCCTCACACTGCAGACTGCTCACCCCGCGCACCGAGGCTGAGGGCCCTGAACCAGAACTCCCCGGGAGGCCCCACGTGCACCCAGCCCTTTGCTGTGTGGGTGCTCTGTGCCAGGAGCCCCGGGAGCTGTGCCCACGCCCTCCTCTGTGCCCTGAAACCTCATCCTCCACCCCACCCTCTGCTCTCTGCCCTGCCCTGGGCCTCGGCCAGGCCAGCCCAGCCCAACCGCCTAACCAGACGGGGCACTTTCTCCCTCAGCCCTGGCCCAGCAGGCGTGGCATCATGGGGCCGGGCTGGGAGGCTGGTGAGATGCCCGCTGCCCGGGCACACGGCTCGCAGCTGACGGGTGCCAGGCCGGTGCTCCGTCAGAGCAGCTGTAAGGAGGACGGCCGAGCCAGGGACCGACCGTCCTTACGCCCACGAACCGCCAGCCCTCACAGCCGCAAAGCGTTTCCCGCCAACGACCGGCCCGGGGTTGCACTGCATGCCCAGCGGCTGCAGAGGCTGGGAGCTCCCTCAGCTGGGGCGGGAGGCGGGTGCGGGCGGCTGGCTTTAACAGCCGCCTCCTCACTGAGGTTCCCTGGCTTCCAGCGTGGGCATCGCTGTGCAACCATCGCCACCTTCTACGGTCCTGCTTTCCCGCTCCACGCTCCAGACTGGGGTCAGCGCCCTGAGGTCTGAGCGAGCTGGGCTGCCCACCCTCATCCACACCCCTAACCTCTCACCCACATCCCCATCGCCTCACCGACACCCCATCCCCTCACCCACCCCCCCATCCCCTCACCCACCCCCCCATCCCCTCACCCACCCCCCCATCCCCTCACCCACCCCCCCATCCCCTCACCCACACCCCCATCCCCTCACCCACACCCCCATCCCCTCACTGACACCCCCCCATCCCCTCACCCCCCCATCCCCTCACCCCCCCCCATCCCCTCACCCACCCCCCCATCCTCTCACCCACACCCCCATCCTCTCACCCACTCCCCCAACCTCTCACCCACACCCCCATCCCCTCACCCACACCCCATCCCCTCATACCCCCAACCTCTCACCCATACCTCCATCCCCTCACTCACACCCCATCCCCTCACTCACACCTCCATCCCCTCACTCACACCCCCATCCCCTCACCCACGGCCCCATCCCCTCACTCACACCTCCGTCCCCTCACTCACACCCCATCCCCTCACCCACATCTCCATCCCCTCACCCACATCTCCATCCCCTCACTCACACCCCCATCCCCTCACTCACACCCCATCCCCTCACTCACACCTCCGTCCCCTCACTCACACCCCCATCCCCTCACCCACGGCCCCATCCCCTCACCCACACCCCATCCCCTCACCCACACCCCATCCCCTCACCGACACCCCATCCCCTCATACCCCCAACCTCTCACCCACACCCCCATCCCCTCACCCACACCCCATCCCCTCACCCACACCCCATCCCTCACCCACCCCCATCCCCTCACCCCCCCATCCCCTCACCCCCCCCCATCCTCTCACCCACACCCCCAACCTCTCACCCACACCCCCATCCCCTCACCCACACCCCATCCCCTCATACCCCCAACCTCTCACCCACACCCCCAACCTCTCACCCACACCTCCATCCCCTCACTCACACCCCATCCCCTCACTCACACCTCCGTCCCCTCACTCACACCCCCATCCCCTCACCCACACCCCATCCCCTCACCCACGGCCCCATCCCCTCACCCACATCTCCATCCCCTCACTCACACCCCCATCCCCTCACCCACACCCCCATCCCCTCACCCACATCTCCATCCCCTCAGCCCACACCCCATCCCCTCACCCACACCCCATCCCCTCACCCACGGCCCCATCCCCTCACTCACACCCCCATCCCCTCACTCACACCCCCATCCCCTCACCCACACCCCCATCCCCTCACCCACACCCCATCCCCTCACCCCCCCCCATCCTCTCACCCACACCCCCAACCTCTCACCCACACCTCCATCCCCTCACTCACACCCCCATCCCCTCACTCACACCCCCATCCCCTCACCCACACCCCCATCCCCTCACCCACATCTCCATCCCCTCAGCCCACACCCCATCCCCTCACCCACACCCCATCCCCTCACCCACGGCCCCATCCCCTCACTCACACCCCCATCCCCTCACTCACACCCCCATCCCCTCACTCACACCCCCATCCCCTCACCCACACCCCCATCCCCTCACCCACATCTCCATCCCCTCAGCCCACACCCCATCCCCTCACCCACACCCCATCCCCTCACCCACGGCCCCATCCCCTCACTCACACCCCCATCCCCTCACCCACACCCCCATCCCCTCACCCACATCTCCATCCCCTCAGCCCACACCCCATCCCCTCACCCACACCCCATCCCCTCACCCACGGCCCCATCCCCTCACTCACACCCCCATCCCCTCACTCACACCCCCATCCCCTCACCCACACCCCCATCCCCTCACCCACACCCCCATCCCCTCACCCACACCCCATCCCCTCATACCCCCATCCCCTCACCCACATCCCCAACCTCTCACCCACACCTCCATCCCCTCACTCACACCCCATCCCCTCACTCACACCTCCGTCCCCTCACTCACACCCCCATCCCCTCACCCACATCTCCATCCCCTCACCCACACCCCATCCCCTCACTCACACCCCATCCCCTCACCCACACCCCCATCCCCTCACCCACAGCCCCATCCCCTCACCCCCCCCCATCCCCTCACCCACACCCCCATCCCCTCACCCACACCCCATCCCCTCACCCCCCCATCCCCTCACCCACCCCCCCATCCCCTCACCCACACCCCATCCCCTCACCCACGGCCCCATCCCCTCACCCACACCCCATCCCCTCACCCACGGCCCCATCCCCTCACCCACACCTCCATCCCCTCACTCACACCCCATCCCCTCACTCACACCTCCATCCCCTCACCCACGGCCCCATCCCCTCACCCACACCTCCATCCCCTCACCCACACCTCCATCCCCTCACTCACACCCCCATCCCCTCACCCACGGCCCCATCCCCTCACCCACACCTCCATCCCCTCACTCACACCCCCATCCCCTCACCCACGGCCCCATCCCCTCACCCACATCTCCATCCCCTCACTCACACCCCCATCCCCTCACCCACACCCCCATCCCCTCACCCACAGCCCCATCCCCTCACCCCCCCCCCATCCCCTCACCCACGGCCCCATCCCCTCACTCACACCTCCATCCCCTCACTCACACCCCATCCCCTCACCCACACCCCCATCCCCTCACCCACACCCCCATCCCCTCACCCACATCTCCATCCCCTCAGCCCACAGGCCTCATGCCACCAGCCAGGGCTGGGCTTCCCGCTCTGGGCCCCCCTGGGAGGGAGCAGGGGCCCCGTTGCCCTTGAACAGCCGACCACAGAGCAGCCGCAGCTGGACACAGGAGGACGCACCGGGCAGCTCAGTGTCCTTTATTGCCGCCTGCTCCCGCTGGGCACAGCCTGAGGCCGAGGCCGGAGCAGAGGCCGGCCAGCTCGGTGGGGGCTCAGGGGGGAGAACCCGCTACAGCAGAGCCTGAGGGTTCCGGCTGCTCAGCTCTGGGCCTCGGGCGCCGTCTGCCGGCCCACAGGCCGCCTCTCCCGGGAGGGGGCGCAGCGCGGCCACGTGGGACAAGGCTCTGCCCGGGCACGCAGTGGCCTCCGGGCGCTGAGTTTTGGCAAAACTAACTGTTGAAGCGACTGGGGCTGGCTGGCGGGGGAGGGACGAGGGCCGCACTGGAGCCGGGCGCGTCCGCACCCCCGCGTGGTCCTGACCTCAGCTGTGGGCTCAACTTCTCACCCGAGGCCCGAGATCCGAGGGACATGGTGGGGCCCCTCGGGGCCAGAGGGCCGGGGCCCCAGGAGACCGGACAGCCCAGCGCGCCCGCTCTGCTCACTGCCCGCTGGACGCCCGCTCTGCTCACTGCCTGCTGGACGCCCGCCCTGCGTGTGGCCGGTGCAGGGCTCAGTGGGGGGTGCAGCCACGGGGCGGGGGGCCAGCTGCTGGAGGACGCTGGCCAGGCAGGAGCAGGAGGCCCGCGGAGGGCGGCCGGTGGGGTGCCAGCCTCTGCGCCCATCAGGACGGCACTTTGACGCCGAAGTACGTGCGGAGCTGCTCCAGGAACACGAAGGTGAGCACGGTGTGCGGCATGAGGCGGATGCCGGCCGGCACCAGGCCCTGGGGGACGGAGCGAGAGCTAGGGACCCCAGCCCACCCACCGTGCGCCCTGACCCCAGCCCCCACCCACCGTGCGCCCTGACCCCACCCCACCCACCGTGCGCCCTGACCCCAGCCCACCCACCGTGCGCCCTGACCCCAGCCCCCACCCACCGTGCGCCCTGACCCCACCCCACCCACCGTGCGCCCTGACCCCACCCCACCCACCGTGCGCCCTGACCCCACCCCACCCCACCCACCGTGCGCCCTGACCCCACCCACCCCACCCACCCCGGCACCACCATCCTCCCACCACGCCCCCTCTCGCCCGAACCTTGAAGAAGGCCAGCGGCCCGAGCCTCGCGGTCTCCATGGTGCAGTGCAGCACGCCCTGAGGACGAGGGAGGCGGATGGAGCGCCTCTCCCGCACTGGGCACCCCCCCACTGGCACCCCCTCCCAACCCCCTCCCACACCAGGCACTCCACCCCCCTGTACCGGGCACCCCCCTGCACCGGCACCCCCTCCCGCACCGGGCACCCCCCTGCACCGGCACCCCCTCCCGCACCGGGCACCCCCCCCCGGCACCCCCTCCCAACCCCCTCCTGCACCAGGCACCCCCCCCCCCCCCCGCACCAGGCACCCCCCCCACGCACCGGCACCCCCTCCCACAGCCAGCTCAGGCCAACGTGCAGTGACCCGCAGCCAGTACACAGTGCGGCCGGACACTCAAACAAGACAAGGTGTGAGCCAAAAGGTCATGCTGCGGCCGCTGCCCGGCTGCCTGCTGATGCGGCAGAACCAGAGCCCGGAGGGGGGGCGCAGGCACGTGGGGACGCTGAGGGCGCGGGGCCCAGCGCCCAGGCCGTGCTCCCGCGCGGGCCGGCCCCGTTGTCAGTCCGTCAGCGGCTCTGACCCAGGGCCACACGGGCCAGGGCTCCGGAGGCGGCCGCTGGGCGGGACCCATGGGAGCGGGAACGGGGACGGGGTGGGGACGGGGACGGGGTGGGGACAGGGACAGGGACGGGGACGGGGACGGGGACGGGGACGGGGACGGGGTGGGGACAGGGACGGGGTGGGGACAGGGACGGGGACGGGGACGGGGACGGGGTGGGGACAGGGACGGGGTGGGGACAGGGACGGGGTGGGGACGGGGACGGGGACGGGGACGGGGACGGGGACGGGGACGGGGACGGGGTGGGGACAGGGACGGGGTGGGGACGGGGACGGGGACGGGGACGGGGACGGGGTGGGGACGGGGACGGGGTGGGGACGGGGACGGGGTGGGGACGGGGACGGGGTGGGGACAGGGACGGGGACGGGGACGGGGACGGGGTGGGGACAGGGACGGGGTGGGGACAGGGACGGGGTGGGGACGGGGACGGGGACGGGGACGGGATGGGGTGGGGAGAACAGCTGTCGGCCACCCCGGGGCCAGGACCGGGCGCAGGGCAGAGCTCACCTGGTACTCGCCCTTGGAGTTCATCAGGCGGGTCTTGAGCACGTCCAGGGGCTGGCACAGGACCGTGGCACACCCGCCCTGGGGGGGGCACGTCGTCACCCTCAGCCCTCAGCCCACCCAGACCCTGTGAGTAACCCAGGGCTGCAGCGGGGCCAGGCACCCCGGCTGACGGGGTGTCAGCGCCCCCACCCTGCCCCGCCCACCCCGCCTCGGACTCACGGCGATGAAGCTGGCGATGAAGTGTGTGAAGATGCCGTCCGACAGGTAGCCCGTGCTCAGGACCAGCTGCTTGGCCTGGTCGTAGCAGGACAGCTGTGGGTGCAGGGAGGTGAGGGAACACCACCCGGTCACCAGGACCCTTGGGCGTCACCGCACGCACTGGAGCTGCTGGGCAGGTGAGACCCAGGCAGCGAGGGGCTGCCCACGGCCCTCCCCGGCCGCCGTGCCCACCTCCCAGTGCCCGCCGGTGGCCCCCCTTCCCGAGGGGCTGCCCACGGCCCTCCCCGCCCGCCGTGCCCACCTCCCAGTGCCCGCCGGTGGCCCCCCTTACCGAGGGGCTGCCCACGGCCCTTCCCCGCGGTGTCGGGGGCTGCCCACGGCTCTCCCCGCCTGCCGGTGGCCTCCCTCCCCGCGGTGTCGGGGGCTACCCACGGCCCTCCCCGCCCGCCGGTGGCCCCCTCCCCGCGGTGTCGGGGCGCGGCAGGCAGCCCCGGCCCCCTGAGCCCACCTGGCCCACAGTGACCAGCATCCCCCGGCTGGAGGCCATGGTCGCGCCGGAGAACAGCTTCCTCGGACCCTCTGCGGGAGGAGCGGCACGCCACGTCACCGGCTGCCCCTGGACGCTGCCTTCCCCGCTCCTGGGCTCTGGGCTCCCGGCGGGGCTGCCTGGCCTCCACTGGTCCCGCCCCAGCCCCTGCCCAGCCCCTTCCTGCTCCTGCCCCGCCGGGGCCCCAGCCCCTGTCCGGCTCCTGTCCCAGCCCCTGCCCAGCCGCGGCCCCAACCCCTGTCCGGCTCCTGTCCCAGCCCCTGCCCCAGCCCCTGCCCAGCCCCTTCCTGCTCCTGCCCAGCTGCGGCCCCAGCCCCTGTCCAGCTCCTCCTCCTCACCTTCACGGGCCACGCGATACAGGCCATCCAGGGCGTGGGCGTAGCTGCCAGGACACAGAATGGACCCATGTGAGGCCCCCCGACCACGGCTCCCTGGGGGTGCCCCAGGACGAGCCCCGAGACCCTCCAGGAAGCATGGGGGAAGCGGGAGCCAGGCCTTCTGGAGCCAGAGCCGTCTCCTCCCTCTGGGGCCTTGGCCCCAAGATCCCAGAGACCCACAGGGAGCGCTGATCCTAGACAGGAGGGTCCTCCCGCACGCTGTGCCCGGGGGGGGGGGGGGGGAGGGGGTGCACAGCGGGCCGGCTCAGAGCCACCTCCCCGGAGTGGACGCCGAGATGGGCTCACTGGGCATCTGTGCACACACAGCCTCAGTGACAGCGCTCGGACCTCGCAGGAAGCAGTGCTTTTATCACCAGAAACCCCAGCTCCTGCCCCTGAAGAGCCCAGCGCAGGCCTCGGCCATCCCCACGGAGACGTGGGCGAGGCGGGGAGACTGCCACCACCCTGTCCCTCAGTCCCGGCCGTCCCCACGGTGCCCCCAGCCGCCCGGAGGGCAGAGGGGCCGGACTCACTTCCGGCGCTGGTCCTGGGGCAGCTTCATGTCGTTCTGCATCCTGAAACACGAGGAGCGGCTCAGCGACAGGCTCCCTGGCTCCCCCCGGGCTCGGCCGGACCCTGACCTCGGGGGCCACTGACCTGACGTTGACCATGTCGGCGGGGGTCCCCACAAAGCCTCCGATGAAACCTGGCAACAGACCGGACAGCTCGTGACCCGTCAGCGCCCCCGCCGCCCCGCCCCGCGCCCCACGCCCCGCGCCCCGCTCACCGCTGACGGCGCCCAGCAGCACCTTCTTGTAGAAGGGCAGGGGCCCCTCGCTGCCCTGGGCCAGGCGGTCCCGCACCGTCTCGTAGATGGCAAACCGAGTCAGCGAGTAGGTCATCTGGGGGAGGGGCCGGCTCAGAGCGTGCGGGGGGGGGGGGGGGGGGCTGGACGTGGACCCCTGGGGCGCCCCCCCCAGCTGGCTGGGCGCACGAGCATCACCCCGACCACGGGGATGAGGAGCCCTCCCAAGGCCGCACACCAATCAGTGGCTGAGCCCGTCTGCCTCGGTTTCCCGGTCTGTAAGTGGCACCCCCCCCCGCCCCTGCCCACCCAGGGGCTCCAGCTCCCGGGCCCTGGGTTCCTCCCTCCTGAGCAGCCTCACAGGAGGTAGCGGCTTCAATGGCCGGGCGCCCAGCCCTCCCTCCGCCCCGTGGGGCCGGCTGGCACCTGTCGGCACAGCGAGGCGCTCAGGCCGTTGTAGAGCGCCAGCACGCCGTCGGAGCGCACCACCTGCAGCGCCATGCCCGTCATGCCCATCCTCGCCTCCTGCTGCGTCTGCAGGTGCACCTGGGGGCGGGGCACACCGCTGAGGCCTCTCCCAGCCCACGCTGCCCCCCCCAGCGCCGCGCCTGCCACCACCAGCCACAACACCAGGGGTCTGGCGCACCCACCAGGCACCGACACCTGCTGTGGGTGGGGATCAGCAGCCCCATTTTACAGATGAAGAGACTGAGGCAGGACCCGGCAGGGTGACTCCAGAGCCCCACTGTCCATCCTGCTCACTTCTCAGGGGACGGAATTATGGGGACTCAGAAGCACGGGGCCTAGGAGAGGCAGGTGGGGCTGGGGCGGGGCGGAAGGGAGAGGCCGGCGAGGGCGGGTCACTGACCCGTGCCTCAGTTTCTCTCCTTGTGCTGTGAGGGTGAGGGACTCAGTGGATACCCCCCCTTCAGGCTCTTCCCGGGCCTCCAGGTGGTGGAGCGGCAGAGATGGGGACGGAGAGGCCTGTGCCCAGCTCAGGGACACAGCCGTGTCCTCCCACTGCCCGAGCCAGCTGGGCAGGACAGTGGGCACTGGGCCTGCGGTCAGGGCGGCCACGCGGGCAGCAGCTCCTGTCCAGGCAAGAAAAGGCTGAGGATCATGTCAGGACATGAGACAGGAAGATCCAGCTTTAAAATAATTTCCCCAATGGCCACGCGGAGGTAAAACCCCGGCCAGGCCTCCTCCACCCCTGGCACGAGGCCACGTGCCCCGGGCACAGGCAGCCCTGCTCCTGAGGCACCTGCCTCCCCTGACTCACCCTGGCAGCAAACAGCACCTGGGGCAGGCAGGAAGGGCAAGGGGCAGAGACGCCGGAGGGGCCTTGGACTATGGACAGGGGGCCAGGCCAGGCCAGGCCGCGAGGACTCTGCAGCCCCTGGAGGCTGTGCCTGCTCCTGGCCAGAGCCCGAGCCGCGGGGCCCCTGTGGTGGGGGTGGGGACCTGTGTGGGCATCCAGAAAGGGTGAGGGAGGGCTCTTCACCCACCAAATGCACCTCCGGCTCACCGCTGAGCCCCTGGTGGTCAGCGCACCCTCCAGGCCCAGGGCCACTCCCAGGCCAGCCAGGTCTCCGCGGCAGCTGGCTGCCAGCCTCACTTCTGCTCACCTGATACTCGCCCTGGAATTCCCCAGGTGGCATCGAACTCACTAATCAGAGGCAATCCCCTCCCATCAGGAGAAGGGCTGCAGAAGCAGCATGCCCACAGGCAGGGGACGCCCGGGGGGCGGTGCCTGGTCAGCCTGGCCACAGGAGTCCATTTCTCCCAGGAGGCCACGTGGGCACAGACAGCTGGGGGGCAGGGGCAAGGCAGCGGTGGCGGGTGGCCGCCCCTTGCCCACAGCCCCACGTGACACAGGGCCATGCCCTGGGCGGCCTGTGGTTGGTCTCTGGCTCTTTCTCCTTTGTTCTTTGTGGGGAGGCAGAGCAGAAAACCACCCCCGGGCTGGCCCTGGAGACAAGGAAGTTTTATCTCATTCTGCCCCGTAAGCAGGGCAGCACCGTGTGCACAGAGGCCGAGGCTGCCGGGAGGCACCCGCCAGTCCGGGAGGAAGCAGCCCAAAGCGGGGGCGCCGGTGCCACATCCGCCTTCCCCTCCCTCCGCCGGGCAGGGGGCCGCTGGGATCGAGCCCTGTATGCGCGGGGACATCCCCCCCGCAACTGTCACCGGACGGACAACGTCCTCCGAGGAGCGGGGCCCAAGTGGCCGCCGAAGGTCACGGGCAGCGAGGCGCAGGGCCGGGGGGGACAGGCCTCCGGGGCCGGGGCCGGGGCGCCCACCCCCGGTCAGGCCTGGGGCCTCCCTCCATCCCGGGCGGCGGCGCGGCGGGCGGGCAGGAGCCCGGGGGCTGCGGTCCCGGGGCCGGGCCGGCGGGGCCGCGGGGGCGGGGCGGGATGGCGCGGAGCCGGGATGGCGGAGCCGGCCCGCCCGGCGCCCTCACCTTGAGCAGGTCCAGCGGGTGCGTGCAGCAGGCGGCGCCGCACGAGGCCAAGCCCCCGAAGTACCAGCGCGACACGCGCGCCTCGGCCGCCATGCCCGCGGCCGCGCCGGTTGCCGGCCTCAACCGCCCCCGCCCGGACCCCGAGCCGCCCCGGACCGCCGCGCCGCCCCAGCGCCGGGTTCAAAGCGCGTCTGCCACCCGCGCCCGGCGCAGCCAATACGCCCGCGCGGCTCGGGGCGGGACCGCATCCGGGGCGGGGCCGGCGAGACCACGCCCCCGGGTCTTAAAGGGGCCGCGGGGCCGTGGGCTCCACTTCCCAGTTCCGCAGGCCGCCCGATGCCCCCAGGTCCCCCCGCCCGAGGGCACGTGGCTCTGCCACGCTCGCCCCGCCCCGCAGGTCGGGTCCTCCCCGGGCACGTGCAGCTGCAGAAGCAGCAGATCCCCTGGGACCAGCCTGCGGTTCCAGTAAAACCAGGGGCGAAAGGCAATCCCGAGACCAGACACCGCCTCCGCCCGCGCTTCCCGGCCAAGTGCGGCCTCAGGGCTCCTCTGACCAGGCCCCCCACCCCCCCCGGGCTGAGTCCTGGGAGACAGACCCGGGTCCCAGCGCCAGGCTCCGGCCCCCAGGCTACCTCCTCAGGGCGCCTGCCCCTGCAGGGCCCAGCGGGAGGGACCCACCTGCCAGTGGGCTCCCGGGCTCAGCCACCCCCACCCTCACCCCACCCCCAGCCAACAGTAGGAAGTGCAGGCGGGCCCCTCGCCCAGAGGGAAGCCGGAGTGCCAGGGCCACCTTTGGGCAGATCCTGGGGACCCAGGCTGAGGGGACACAGCCAGACCCCTTCCCCAGGAAGGACCTGGGGCTCGACCACTGCACCCCCAGCCCAAGGGAGAAGGCGAGGTCCCCTGAACCTGCAAAGCCTGGCCTCGGCCTCAGCCTCTGGGCACCCGCCAGTCTCCGGACGTGAGCAAACCCGCCCTCCATGGGACTGAAGTGGCCATTTGATGACTCAGGCGCCTCGGACCCTGAGGTCATCTGCTGGGCAGTGAGGAGCCAGACGGTGTCCGGCTGGGAAGTGCTGGGGTCTGGGGGGCAGGGGGAGGGGCAGCTGCCTGGTCTGGAGGGGGAGGAGGGGCTCAGCTGGTGGGGCGGCTCCGTGCCCAGAGGTTGCTGGTTTGATTCCTGGTCAGGGCGCGTGGAAGGCAGCCCGTGGGGTCCTCACATGGATGCTTCTCTCTCCCTTCCTCTCTCAGCATGTCCTGGGGCGTGGACTTGATTTTAAGGGTGTCAGGTGCAAACAGGTAAGAACACCACCCGGAGGCCGGTGGGGGAGGAGGGAGCCAGAAGGGAAGGCAGGGAGGCGGCGGCTCTCACAGCTGATCCTCAGGCTCCAAGATAAGCCAGAGCCGCCTGGGCCGGAGCCCGGTGGGCGCCCTCCCCAGGCACCAGGGCTGTGGGTCGACGCCGGTCAGCGAACCCATGGGGCCTGCCAGTGAATGCACAGGGGTGGGAGCAGCCCGTGTTCCTCCCTAAATCAATTATTGGCAAACAGCACCAGAGCCAGCAGCCCAGTGGCTGGGAGGCAGGGGGCGTGGCCCTGGCAGGCATGCCAGGGAACGGAGGGGCCGGCGGAGCCCACACCTGCCCCACTCGCCGTGGGATCAGCCCGGTGAGGTGCTCAGGCCGAGGAGCAGGGGCCTCTGACGTGGAAGTGGGAGACAGCCCAGGAAGCAAGGGGCCGGCCGGGGGGTGTGAGGGCGGGACTGGGCCCTGCTGGCAGGGACGCCCCCCCCTGCTCGCACTCTGGGGACCGGCCTCAGATTGGGAAGAGCTGGCGGGAGGCTCAGCAGCCTGGACACTTTAAGAATAAAAATGCAAAGAGCAGCATCTGAAATGAGTTCCTGGAAAAGGCGGTCAGAATCCGGAAGGTGGGCACGCAGGGACACAACGCCGAGCGGGCTTCTCGGCTGGATCCCAGCCCGGCCACAAGCCCGGGGCTGACGCAGCGACAGGCCCGGCTGAGTAAGGGCTGCCTGCCAGGCTGGGCAGGGGGGCACGGAGAACAGGGGTGCCTGGAGCGGCCGGTGGGGCAGGAAGCAGGAGGCAGCTCCCTCTCAGCGGTGCCCCGTGACCTTCCCACCAGGCTGGGCAGAGCAGGAATGAAGTAATTCCTATTGGGATCTCAAGGTGCTGGTGGGCACCAGCGGGGAAGCCGGGACCCACAGATCCCCCTCGCGGTGCAGAGCCCACGGCCAAGGCCAGGTGGCGCCAGGGTCACAGCCGGGGGCACAGGCCTCAGGGGCCCCCAGGCCTGACACTCCTGTCACATCACCTGCAGCCAGTCCTGGGAGCCAGGGTGGCGGGCAGGACTCCCAGGGCCCTGACTGAGGCCGGCTGCAGGGCACCGGGTAGACGCAGAGCAGACACAGGTGTTGGCCTCGCCCGGGTACAGAAGGCACTTGGCCAGGGCACCCCACCGCGGCCCCTCCCTTTGAGCAGCTGCCGTGGGACAAAGCAGAGGCCTCATCGCCCCACTTGCCCCTGCTCCGTGGGAAAGCAGGACGAGGTCCCGAGCTCAGCCCACTTCCTTCCCAGCCCCAGAGCAGGCGGCTCAGCAGGCCCTGCCCGGCCTCAGGTGGCCCAGCAGCCACTGGGAGGGGGTGGGGGGGAGGCACACCCAGAGATCTGCTGATGGACAATCATTAACCCTGTGGGCGCCCAGGAAGCTCCCCGGGCCAGGTGGCAGCCTCCCGCCTCCTTAGACCACAGGGCCCAGTGGGAGCATGTGGGGGGGGAGCTGTCCCACCAGAGGCCACCTCCCGGACACAGTGCCCCCTCTGGTCCCACAGAACGTGTGGGTCATTCTTCCAACAGGCAAAGGGGGGTCCCCGTCCGGCATTCGGGACACCCCGCAGCCCCTCCCTCCCACTCTGGCCCAGGCCCAGGGGGCTCCTGGGAGTGAGGCCCGGCCATCTTCCCTCTGCAGCTGGCGCTCTCCACAGCGCCCCCTGCTGGCCGGGGCGGGAGCTGCATACCCAGCTCCTGGTGCAGATCCGGTATCAGCCACGCGGCTGGCGGGCAGGAGCGGCTGGCGGGCAGGACGGTGACCGCCGCCGGCTGTGGGGTCTCAGGACCCCGTGACGGCCTGCAGACCCCCATCCCTCGGCCCAGGAACCAGAGGCAGTGCGCACGGCCCAAACCATGTATTTTCTCAGCGGCCACCAGGGGCGCGTGGTGAACCGGGCGGCCAGAGCCAGGCCGGTGCCCGGGCGCCGCCCGCTGCTGCTGCCCGCTCGGTAGGTCCATGCCTGTCCCAGGGCCCGGCGGCCGCAGTGGCGGGCGGGTGCGGCCCTGCTCTGAGGCGGCGCGCCGGGCGGCGGAGCCTGGTGCTGGGCGGGCGGCGGGCCTCTCCGGCCCGGGGACGGTGCACAGTTCTCGGGGAGCCTACTCCAGGACCACCGTGCCGCCCACCGCCTCCAGCGCCGCCTTGATCTTCTCCGCCTCGGCCTTGGCGACGTTGGCCTTGATCTCCTGGGGCAGCGACTCCACCAGCTTCTTCGCCTGCGGGGAGCGAGCCAAGTCAGACGCCCAGTCCGCCGCCGCCCGCCGGGCGCCCCGCCCCCCACGGCCGCCCCCGCACCTGCACCAGGTTGATGCCCTGGACGTAGTTCTTGATCTCCTTGATGAGCTTCACCTTGTCCACCGGCTTCGCCTCCGTCAGGCGGACGGTGAAGTGCGTCTGCTCCTTCTGCTTGGGGATGTCTTCCTCCACCGCCTAGGGGGGAAGGGGGCGCTGGGTGAGCGCGGAGCGGGCGGGCACCCTCGCTCCGGGCTGCGGGCCCTGCAACCCTAGAGGCAAGCCCCCCATTCCCGCCCGATTCTGGCAGGAGGGACGCCCAGCAGGCCGCCCTCCCGCTCGGTGCCCCCCACCTCGTCCGCGCCTCGGTCAGGCCGAGTCCCACAGCCCAGAGCTCTTCCCAGCTCTCCAGGGGCCTCCCGCCCCGGCCCCCAAAACTCATCCCTTTACAACTGTAGCTCAGGAGACAAGGCGGAGCGCCCCCAAAAGTGCTTTGTGGGCGGAATGACGTTACAGAGGAACGGTGGCTTCCAGCCCCGGCCAAGCCAGAGCCGTGTCTCAGACCAAGGACACCAGCTCAGCCACTCCCTCGACCAGCGGCCGGTGGGGAGCCCCCGAGATGGGAAGAGTTGGGGTCGTGCTTTTGGGGGGCATACAGGGCCCCGTGGAGAGAGCACAGGCCGGAACCTGCCTCCAGCACGAGGGAAGGAGACACAAATTCGGCAAAACGGTCACTCCTCAGGCTGGGAGGGTGTGGTTATTTCCACTGCGGATAACGTGAGATTAAAAAAAAAGGCAAATACTGAAAACACACACATACAAAAAAGCAACGACAAAACCCCACAGGTGAGCATGTGGCCTCCTGTCTGCGGGTTTCCTCGCAGACACCCCACCCCGGGGAGCTGCCCACTCCTCTCCAGCCTGGACACGCTCACAGCCTCCAGCCTGGGAATGCCTTGCTCTCTCCCTCAGCTCCTGTCTCCTCTCACCACGGCCTTCCCTGAACCTGTAACCCTCCCCTCCCCCAAGCGTCTTCCCTACTTCCCCCCAAGAACATAGGAAGCCCTGCGAGTCAACATAACTTCTCGTGTCCATCGGCTCCCTGTTCCCCTCCCCTGGACACACGGTCCCCACTGGACACACGGTCCCCAGTGGGCAGGGAGAGGCCCAGGGGGGCTGACCAGAGCCTCAGCTGGAGGCACACAGAGGTAGGGGAGTGTTGAGTGGCACAGGACAGAGATGAGGGGCAGAGAAATCGGGAAGTGAGGGACGCTGGGAACTGGGCGCCAGAGAAGCAGGTCTCTGCGGAGGCGCGCCTGGCTCACCTCCGGGGCGGCAGCGGCGGGGGCGGCAGCGGGCATGGCGCCCCCCATGGGCATGAGCCCCACATCCTGGATCTTGAGTGTTTTCTGTGGGGACAGAGGAGAGCAGCCTCAGACGCCGGTGGTCACCCCAAAACACGCGCAGGGACCAGCCTGGCACAGCCTTGCACCCAGGGAGCAGGCACACTTTCCACAACAGACCAAACCCCCCCCCCCCCCCACACACACACAAAAAAAACACACACTCCAGGAGCAAGACACAGGCCCGACCCCGCTGCCAGGCCCGGCCGGGGTACCTTCAGGAGCTCATTGAGGTCTGAGATCTCCAGGAGCGTGAGGCTGGCAATGTCCTGGACCAGCTGCTGGATCTTGGGGGGGTACTCCTTGGGGGCGTTGTCTAGGGGTGCACCGGCGAGGGCCTCTCCCCTCCGATGGCTGCTGCATCGCATCAGCCGCACGGCGCTGACACGTGGAACCTGTTGCCTGGACCCCGTTCAAAGAGCTGTCAGCCCGGCGCCGGTGGTGAGCGGCCGTCCAGGCAGGTAGGTGCCATGAACTCGGGTCTAGCCCCTTGGTCCCATCACCGTCATTATTGTTATTGTTGCAGGATATTGCCCCTAACAACTTCCTGGTTTGAATGAACGGCAGCAGCTCACGGGGAAATGGAATCACGTACATGCATGCTGCTGCACAAAGCTTTCAGAACCCGGAGCGCCGGATGCAATGGTGGGAGTCCTACACGTCCCTGGGCTGCGGGGAAACTGAGGCCCCGGCAAAGGCGGAAACCCTTCCCGCGTGATCTGAGGCCACCCCGGCACTCTCTGCGGCCCGCACGGGGGTGTGTGTCTCCGCACGGGGGGGGGAGGGTGTCTCCGCTTCCCTTTTGGGACCCGTCGGGCTTGGGTGGCCTCCCGCCCGCTGCCCCAGCCTGAACCACCGGTGGCCGGCTGAGGACTCCCACTCTGCCCGCCCGGCCCTCGGCAGCCCGCGGTACCTGGCGAAGCGGAGCGCGGCGCCCCTAAGCCCTAGACAGGGCCCCCATAGGGGGCGAGCAGCCGCCGGCAGCATCGCTCCACCGGCGGGAAGGTCACACGAGGCTCCACGGAGGAGGGACGCTCTAGCTGCCGGAGCAGCCGAGTACACGCGCGGGGGAGAACGCTCTAGCCGCCAGGGCCGCCGAGCATACGAGTTGGGACGGACGCTCTAGCCGCCAAGGCCGCCGAGCATACGAGTTGGGTCGGACGCTCTAGCCGCCAAGGCCGCCGAGCATACGAGTTGGGACGGACGCTCTAGCCGCCAGGGCCGCCGAGCATACGAGCTGGGGGAGGACGCTCTAGCCACACCTCACGCTCGCCCCCTCTCGTTCGCCGAGATTACCCACAAGGGACCGGGGCCAAGGGAGGCCAGCGGAGGCCGAGGCTTAGCGCGGGCTCCGGCCGAGTCGGGGGCGGGCCCGGCCGTGCAGAGCAGCGCCGCGGGCCCTCGGAGCCTCGCGCCAGCCGGCGGCTCCCACTCGTGCCGTTTGCTCGGCGTCCGTGGTCGCCGCGCGCGGAGTGCTCGCTGCGCTCTGGCGCACGGCTGCTCCCCCGCCGGCCCGGAGGGAAGGAGCAGGTTCTGTCCTGCGGGCAGCCGCCCCGGGAGCGAGGACGCCCCCTTCCGCGGGTCCGAGCGCGCGTCCCGGCTGATAGCCCGGAAGGGGAACCGCGCGGCGGGCTAGCAGGTCCCTGGAGAAGAGGTTCTGTCTCCGGACACCGGACCCTCCGCGCCCCCCGACCCGGGCTGCAGCGCCTGCCCGAGGGCCTTGGCGTTGCTCTGTAGATGCAGCCGGAGGAAGGGGGTTCCTGCTGGTGCTGAGCCAGCGCGGAGCGGATTGGTCACGGAGCAGGTGCTGCCCCTCCGCCCCGCACTCCTGTCCGGGCCCCGCGCCCCGGAGCCTGTGCCTGTAGCCAGTCCGGCCCCGCAGAAAGGAGCCGGGGCCGCAGTCACTAGGCGGCTTGGCTGTTCCAGAGGCTGAACTCTGGATGAAGCTGCGGACTCCGACACTGGACATTTCCCTCCAACTACAGCTCCTGGCGTTCAGTCGGCCCGGAGCCGCGGGCCCTGTGAGGGCGGGGACAGGCTGGCCTGCGGGACGCCCATACTCCTGACCAGCACCTTTCCCCTGAGCAGACACGAGGTTCTTGTTGGAGAGACTTTATTATGGCCGATCCGTTCCATCTACTGGGGCACTGGGTGACATGACAGCTCAGAAGCAGAGAAGCTGGAGACTAGCCCCCCTTCCTGCGGGGGCCAGGAGCTCCTGCTGACAGCTGGGGGGGGGTGGGTCCTAGAGAGCTGGGGGGCAGAGGGACCTGACACCCAGGCTGGGGCTCCCCCCGCCCCCAGGCCCGGCCATGGGGAAGCAGGTTGGAGGCCAACTCAGGGACAGGAGGGTGGAGCCGGGGGTGAGCACAGGTGAGGACAGAAAGGCGGGCTGGGGGGGGCACTACATGGAGGAGGGGGGAGAGCCAGGAGGCACAGGATGCTAGTCAGACGGAGGCGGCGGTCTCGGGTGTAGTGTTCCTCTGGGCAGTGCGGGCCGGGCGGGTCAGTCGAAGGAGATGAGCTGGGCTTCGCTGCCCTGCACCTGCAGCCCCTGCGCGGGCGGCTGCTGGGCCACGGGCGGCGGCTGCTGGGGAGGGCCGCCAGCAGGTGCCATCTGGGGGACGAGAGGCCATGGGTGCTCCTCCCCAGGCCTAGCTCCGCCTCCACTGGCCACTCCAGAACACCCACCAGCTTGTCCCTGGCCCCCCAGCCCAGGGTGCGCCCCCCTCCTCCCTCGGCTTGTCATGGGCTCTGGCTTCACGCCCAGCAGGGCCCACCCCTAGAATCCCCACAGCTGAGCGGCACGTCCACGTGGTTTGCTCCCACGGACGCTGCATGCACCAGGGCCTGTGGGCCCAGTGGCATCCCCAGCTGGCCGCCTCTCCTCCCAGGACAGCCCCCTGCCGGGGCCGGGGCCGGGGCCGGGGCCGGGGCCCAGGCCTGGGAGGGGCTCACCTGCTGGTACATGGGCTGCTGCCCCGTGATGTAGGGCTGCGGCTGGGGCTGCAGCGAGGCGTCCTGGCTGGGGAGGGCGGCCATGAGGCTCTGTGGGGAAGGAAAGGAACCTGTAACCAGACTGGCGGGGGACCCAGTGGGGGGTGGGGATCAGAAGGGCTGAGCCTGCCCGCGTGCCCCCAGCCTCCCCCGGGACCTGCCCTCCATGCCCGCGGTCTCACCTGCATGCCGTAGGGCTGGTAGCCCATGGGCACAGCCTGGGTCCCCATGTAGGCCACGCTGGCGGGCTGCGGGGGCTGCGAGGGCACCGTCTGTGGAGGGAAGGCCTGTGAGGAGCTGGGAGGGGCTGGGCTGGCGCCTCCCGGGCCTCTGGGGAGGGAGCTGAGCGGCCTCGCCTACCTGGTAGCCCTGGGTGGGGGTGGGCTGGTAGGAGGAGTAGGCAGGGCTGGCGGCGGGTCCCGCCGGGCCCTGGGGGGCCGTCTGTGCGCCAGTGACCGCTGCTGAGTACATGTAAGTGCTCGCCACGCTGGGATCTGGAGGAGGAGTGAGGGGGAGAGCGCGGAGTTGGGAGCATTTCTCCGAATTTTCCTTTTTTGTTCATTTTGACGGTCTCACCAACGGGAGAAGGACATCACACAGAGGGGAGGGGACCCCAGCGAGGAGTGGTCAGGAATGAACCCCACTGTGTCCAGCGGAGAAAGGACACTGTGGGGCGGGCAGCTCTGCCCATACCCCTGAACCTGGGTCAGGACGGCAAACAGCTGCCACAGGCCTGGCAATGCTGAGCTCCTTTCTGGATCCTGGGACCCAAGTCAGTCACCACAGGGGACGGGGGCGAGGGATGAGGGATGGGAGCCAGAGCCTCCGGAAGGTGTCAGAGTGAACGCACTTGAGTGTGCGTGTGTGAGCGTGCGTGTGCATGGAGAGCAGACGAGGCAGAACATTAACATTTGGGGAATCTCTTTGCACCATTCATTCTCTTAGCTATTCTGTCAAACAAGCCAAAATAAAACGAAACAGAAAGTAATGGTCTGGGGCTCATGTGGCTGGTCACCTGCTCCGGCCCCGGGCACGCTGGGGTAGGGGCTTCCGGCGGCTGCGGCCGGCTGGCTCATGTACACGGTGTGCATGGGGGAGCCCTCCACCGAGCTTGCCGGGCTGTAGGTCCCTGGGTAGCTGGTGGGACCCGAGGGCTGGTACAGCACGCCGCCCGCCGTGGGCATGGCCTGGAGCTGGGGACAGAGAGACAGCTGTCGAGGGGCTCCGGGCGGCTCCGGGGCGGCAGGAGCGGGAGGGGCAGGGCGCCTGCCTGGGCGTAGGGAAGGGAGAAGGCGGGCATCTGGGCGCGCATCTGGATGGTCTGTTTCTGCTGCTCCAGGCGCAGCTGCCGCTCCTTCTCCTGCTCCTGCAGGCGCTGGATGGCCAGCTGCCTCTGCACCTCCAGGTACTCCTGCGGGCACAGAGCCGTCAGCGCCCGCCGTGCCGGTGCCCGGTGCCGCAGCCCGGCGCGGGCGGCCCCGCACCTGCTTCTTCTGCCGCATGATCTCCAGCTTCTGGGCCAGCTGGATCTGGCGCTGGCGCTCCGCCTCCTCGGCCGCCCGGCGCAGCTTCTCCCGGTGCTCCTCCCGCAGGGCGCTCAGCGCCCCCCGCGCGTCCCGGATCTGCGCCAGCTTGTCCTGCAGCCCCTCGTAGTACACTGCAGGGCAGAGGGCCGAGGCTGGGGCCCCTTCGGCGGCCGCCCGTGCGTGGCGGGCCACCCCAGCCCGGGCCGCCCGCCCGCCCGCGCCCCGCGCCCCGCGCCCTGCGGCTGGGCGCACGCACGCCTGCGCTCGTCCAGCCGGTCGAGCAGCCCCAGCAGCTGGGGGTGCAGGCCGTTGATGGACTGGAAGAGGGACAGCACGGCCGAGTCGTTGGTTATGCTGCGGCCGCGCACGTGGTTGCTCTTCACGCGGTTGACGAAGGTGCTGACGGCGCTCTGCAGGGCCTTCAGGAGCCGCGCGTGGCTCTCCTCCGGCTCCCCGTTCTGGAACTGCTGCTGGGACACGCACGGTGGGTCCCGCTCCGAGTCAGGATCTGCCTCGGGCAGCCCGCCCGCACCAGCCCCCCCCCAGGCGAGCACCGCAGGCTCCGCGGCCAGTGAGGGCAGAGCGGCCGCAGCCCCGGGGCCGCCCACAGGCCCCCCTCGGGCGACACCGACAGCCTCCCCTGCACAGGCCTGGCATCTGCTCCGGCGGCAGCAAGGCCGGAGCCCGGAACGGCAGCGGGCGGCGCTGGGCACAGGTCCGCTGGGCGGGCAGCGGGCCCGGCCGCCTCTGGGGCCTGGGCACAGCGCCAAGGCTGTGTCGTGGCCGAGGAGGGCGCTTACCTCGCTGAAGAGGCCCCCGCAGGAGGCGAGGGGCTGCGGGTCCGTGTCCGTGTCCGGGGGCGGGGGCTGGAAGACACGCAGGGTGAGGGCCGGCCGGGCCGCGGGGCCCCCCAGGCTCGGAGCGCGGCTCACCTCCACGGCGACCGCGGGGGCGGCCGGCGCCTCCACGGGCTGGGCGGCGGGCTCCGCCTGGGGCGCGGGGGCCGAGGGCGTGGGGCTCTTCCGGGCCTCCTCCTGCTTCTTCTCCCAGTAGTTCCGGTTGAGGTACCGGGCGAGCTGGGGGGCAACGGGGGGTCATGCAGGGGCCAGAGGTCATGCAGGGGCCAGGGCTCAGGAGGGAGCCCGTGCACAGGACACTCACCTCGGGGTCCATGTCCTCAGCCAGCGGCGCCGACGAATTCTGGGGAGGGCAGGCCGGGGTCACAGGCCACGGCACAGCGCCCGCAGCCGGCACCCGGGGTCACAGGCCACGGCACAGGCCCGCAGCGGCACCCAGGGCCCCGCCCGCCCTCCCACCAACCGTGCATGGCCCCGCTGGGCAGACGGCAGGGGCCCCTTCACTGAGGCAGCCCCGCTGGCTGGTGGGGCTCGGCCTGCTCCCGCCGGGACAGACGGGCGGAGCAGGGCCTCTGCGCCCGCACAGCGGGGACAAGCCCAGACTGAGGGTGGGAGGCCGGGGCTCTCACCGTGGGGCTCCCAGCCTCCCGGGGTCTCCCCGTCAGGGACCGGGCTGGGAGCTGAGCAGGGAGGGGAGCGGGTGGGAGGGAGGCCAGGGGGCAGGGTGCTGTCCTTTCTGGGCAGCCTCCCGCCCTCCCGCCCTCCCGCGGGGAGCAGTCCGGCCAGTGTGGGCTCGGGGCGCAGGGGACTCACCACAGGTGACGCGTACAGGCTGCTGGCGGGGGGTGCGGACGAGGTCACGGGCGTGGGCTCCGCCTTGGGGTACGCTGTGTATCCCGACTTCTGTCTCTGCGGGAGAACCAGGAAGAGTGTCCCGCAGGGAGTGCGGGCATGGTGGGCCCAGCCTCCACACTCAGCCCTCCCCCAACATCTAGGGGTGCTCCCCAGCACCCCAGCTCGGAGCAGCCTCGGTTCCCCCTCCCCCTCACCATCCTCTCCTTCTCCTCTGCCTCCGACTGGGACAGCGCCAGGGCCAGCTGCAGCTCCTCCTCCTCCTGCAGGGCCGTCTCGTCCCGCTTGGGGGGCAGCTGGGGGCAGGCAGGCTGGTGAGCGGCCGGGGAGGGGGGGAGGGGGCCGGGGCGGGGGCCGGGGCGGGCGTACCTGGGACTGCTGCGACAGGGGGCTGGTCAGGTACTCCGGGGGCAGCTCTGTCGTGGGGGGGGCCTTGCCATCCGCTTTCCTAGACAACAGGATGCTGTGAGGACCGAGCACCCACCTGGCCCCCAAGCACCCCCCAGCGTCACCACAGCAATCACGTGGCCACAGCCGCACCCGAGAAAACAGCCTCAGACTGGCAGGCGCTTCCGGGGGGACCCTGGTGGGTCACCGGCCCGAGCCCGAGCCTGTGGCCAGGAAGTGAAGCTCGGACACCGCCCAGGCCAGACAGACGGACAGCATGGGCCTCTGCGCCCACACACTGTGGACACGGCTCCCCGCCTGGTCCCACCAGGAGCACAGGCCTGACCCGACCACGAGGGACCTCAAGCCCAACCTGAGGCCACGCGACAAGGGCCCGGGCACGTCGGGAGAGAGGGGACCCCAGGACGGAGACGGACGGACAGGCCCTGACGTCACGGGCGCGGGACCAACGCGGTGCGGAGGACATGCCAGCGCCACGTGTGGGCTCCGCAGGGCACTGCTCTTCTGGGCACGCACACCAAGGCCCAGGACCAAACACGTGTGAACACACGTGCAGGGGAGCCCCCGTCAAGGTCAGCACCCAGGGACCAGGCAGAGGGCACGCCTCACCTCGTCACACCGGGTCCTTCCTGGAAGTTTTGCTTCCAAACGAGGCAGTTAAGAGGCAGCCGCAGGCCCTGGTGCCCCCGGGCCCGCCCGGGTCTGGGCGCGGAGCTGGAAGGGGCAGGGCCGCCTGTGCGGCCTCGTGTGGGACAGAGCGGCTGAGGAGCGGGGAGCGCCGGCCGGACTCACTTGTTGAGCTGCTCGTAGCACGGCTCGCACACGCGCACCTCCTTCTCGATGCCGAACTTGGGGATGGTGGAGGACCGGGAGGAGCACTTGCCGCAGAAGATCTGGCCGCAGGCCCGGCAGTGGTGCTGGGACACAGGGCGAGGCGGCTGAGGACGGCCACTGACCCGCCGGCCCCTCCACCAGCAGCACCGCCGGAGGCTGCCAGGCTGGCCTCGGGGGGGGGGGGGGGGGGAGGCCGGGGGAAGCGCACTCACCTTGCGGGTCACCACCCCAAACTGCACCCTGCAGCGGTGGCACTCCTCGGCGTCCACCCAGTCGGGGGCCTGTGGGCGGCAGAGTCAGGAGGCCCGCCCTCCGCCTGCTCCGCCCGCCGGCCAGAGGAGCCCTCGGAGGGCTTCCCCCTGAGGCCGGCACCAGGCCCGGGGCCTCGGGGACAGCCACAGCCGCTCCCTCCACTGGGCAGCGCTGGGCGCCTCACTTTCACCGCAGACCGCAGCTCCCGGCGCCCAGGCTCCCAGCAGGACTGCCCCCTTCCCCCTCCTCCCCCTTTCCCCCTCCTCCCCCGCCCCAGAGCAGCCCACCCCTCGCCGGCACCAGAGACTCACCCTCTCCGCAGCGAACATGGCATCGCTCTCCTTGAACTCCGGGAAGACGTGTCCTGGAGGAGGAAGGCTGCGGTCACCACCGGCCGCCTGTGCATGAGGCCCAGGCTCACCGGTGCCCCAGCCTGCCCTGCCCCTCAGGACCCGACCGAGGCTCAGCACCCGTCTCCTCAGCCTCCGCGGGGCACCACCGGGCCACCCCCCGGCCCCAATGGGGTGAAGGCTGGAAAGGCAGGGGCGCGCGTGCCGGGAGCTGGGCTGACCCACACACCACCCTGGGGACACCCGCTCGTGTGCCAGCGCTGGTCATGGCGGTGCCGTCCCTCCCGCCCAGAAGGAACACCTCAGGCCACCCATGCAGCCCGGCCCCTCTCACCCTCCACCTTCATGATCTGGTAGGTGTCCTGGACCACCTTGTACTTGGGCTCGTTGCGGAAGGCGTGCGCCCAGGCCTGGATCAGGTACAGGATCTTGTTCCGGACGTTGACTTCCACCTGCCTCTGCAGAGGAGGGAGGCGTGAGGAGGGCACGCACACGCACATGCACACGCGGGCGCAAGGGGTGTCAGCGTGGCCAAGGGGCGGGAGGACCCGCCGCTCGGGCAGAGGCGGGCAGGTCCCCGGGGAAGCGCAGGAGCCGCCCTCGCCCCAGGGCAGCTGCCTCCGTGGAGAACCCCTGCATCTGTCTGCCCACAGGGCCGCACAGTAACCCCAGGTCCCGTAACAAGACCGGCCCGGGACCCCCTCAGCCTGTAACCTGCCTGACGCCGGGCCCGCCTTGTCACAGCCAGGCCACAGAGCACCCTCCCCCCAGCCTGGAGCACCCACTACACTTCTAGCACCTCGGGCGCCACCCACCCAGGCCGCCCAGGACGATGCGGGCAGGGCAGGCGGCCTCAGCGGGGCAGCCACAGCTCGGCGCTGGCTTCTGGCCTTTCCGGTGTCTGTGAGCACTCGTGGGGGCCCTCTTTTTTTTTTTTTTTTAATATTTTTTATTGATATTTTACAGAGAGGAAGGGAGAGAGATAGAGAGCTAGAAACGTTGATGAGAGAGAAACATCGACCAGCTGCCTCCTGCACGCCCCCTACCGGGGATGTGCCCGCAACCAAGGTACATGCCCTTGACCGGAATCAAACCTGGGACCTTTCAGTCCGCAGACGGACGCTCTACCACTGAGCCGAACAGCTGCTGCGGTGGAGGCCCTCTCATCTCCATGGGGCCTGGCGGCTTTAGGCCATTATCTGTCGGACTCCCCCTCTTCCCAATGGGCTCTCGGCCCACAGGCCCAAGGCACCAGCAGGACCAGGACGCCGTCGGGGCCTGGAGTTGTGCCCCTCGGAGCGCCCAGGCAGCCTCACTCCGTGGGGTGCCCTTGCACCAAAGAATGTCTGCCCCACCCAGCTCTGCGTCACAGCGCGGGCCGGGGGCTGCGGGCCGGCCCGGACCCCGTTTCCGGCTCAGCAGGACTTACCCTCCTCTGCCCAAGGAGGCACCGCCCCACCCCTCCACAACACAGTAGCCCACACCCACCCCGCTCAGAGCGCCGGGCGCCCAGCTGCCCTCGGGGCTCCCCAGCAGCCCGTATGTCAGAGTCAGGTGGGGCAGGCGAGGCCCTCTGCGCCCAGACACCACCGCTGAGACTGGTCTGGCGCAGGGACCGCCCACACGCACCGCGGCCTCTGCCACACCGGGAGCTGCTCCTGCCAAGATGCCAGCAGCACCCGAACAGCAAAGGCCTGGCGGCGGCGGCCCCCTCCGGCCCCCCGGCCCCCGGCTCCCGAGGAGCGCTCACCTTCAGCAGCTCCTTCAGCTCCTCCATGGTCTGCTTGTTGGCCACCTCGTCGTGGACGGTCTGGCCACAGTTCTTCACCACGGACTCCATGACCTGCAGACCGAGGAGGGGAGGGACAGCTGCCGGTCAGCGCAGAGACCCCTCCTGGACGGCCCACCTCCCGCAGAAGGCCGCTCTCCACGGGGCTGCTCACACCGCCTCCCGCCGATGCCGGCACTGTGCTGGCGCTGCCCCGGGCGGCGGGAAGGCCTCTGCCACCCTGACCGCTCGGGACGGGCCCAGGGCGGGGGGGGGGGGGTGCAGGCGACCAGTCACCTCTAGGGCATACAGGGCCACGTGCGGGTTCTTGTCACTGACTTTCTTCTTGATGGAACTCACAGCATATTTTGCCCTGAAGAGAAAGAATGTAAGTAGAAGTGCAAAGAGACAGGAGAAAGGAAACCGTCTCAGCAACTAAGACGAGAAGCCCAGCTGCCAGCTGGCCCCTGAGGTCCCCAGCTGGACGGAGAGTCCTCTGGCTGCGCCCAGATCCAAACCCCCAGGCCAGACCATGCGGCTCCGCCCAGGCCGCGCCCTGCGGGCAGTGGGCACAGGCGTCCCCTCACTCACTGCGTGTCCCCCTGGCGGATCAGGTCGCAGATCTGCAGGATGGACTCCCAGTCGGTCTCCAGCAGCAGCTGGCTGGTCGCTTTGTCTAAGGCAGAAACGTACCGTTATGGGGCTCCGAGCTGCTCCATCCCATTCTAAACACTCGGCGCCATGGAAACCCCCGCTGTGGCCGGGGAGTGCCGGCCTGACCTAACGAAGCAAACGGCCGGCCAGCCCGGCTCAGTGGTTCCGCGCTGACCTATGGACGAGGCCCGTGGTCGGCAAACTCATCGGTCCACAGAGCCAAATACCAACAGGATAACGATCCAAGTTTCTTCGGAGAGCCACGTTTTTAAAATTTAAACTTCTTCCGACACCGCTTCTTCAAAATAGACTTGCCCAGGCCGTGGTATTTTGTGGAAGAGCCACACTCAAGGGGCCAAAGAGCCGCATGTGGCTCGCGAGCCGCCGCTTGCCGACCACGAACTAGGAGGTCAGGGCTCAATCCCGCCACCTGGGCAGCAGGCAAATGATTTTTCTCTCATTGATGTTTCTCTCTCCCCCTTTTCCTCCCTCTCTGAGAACGATAAAAATGTTAAAAAAAACAACAACAACATAAGAACAGAGAAACCCTGCCGTGTGCTGGGTAACAGCCTCTTCCCAACGCTCTCCATGAAGCAGCTTCTAGCACAGCCTCAGGAGTGAGGTCCTACCTCCACACGCACCCCCCCCCCTTCCCCCGCAGACAAACCGCAGCAGAGAGGGAGCGCACGGCCCGGGTCACACAGCTTGCTGGGGACACAGCCAGGACTCCTGAGCATCCCTGAGCCCCCGGTGTTTGGAAGTTTGATCTCTGGGAGGGATTTGCGCTGGGGCCAGGCTTCGGAGAGGCCCCCGGACGCCTGTCCTCTGCTTCAAGGGAGGGACCTGACCTCCGAGAATATTCTCCAACGAATCCCTCCCTCTCCCCATCGCGTGCGAGGCTCCAGTCCTGCCGGCGCCCTTCCCTGGAGGCTGCAAATAACCTGGCAAGGCCTGGCCAGCTCCACACGGATCCGCTGGTAACTTGTGGATTATCCTCGCAAGACTGAGCCGCCCCAGGTGGCTGGGTCCCTCGCCTGCACCTCCCAAGACCAAGAACGATGCCTGGCCCGAGGGTGGGCGACCCAGGGCGCCTGTCCCCAGCCCGCACAGGCCGTTTTTCGGCGGGAGGAGGGGAGGGGGGCGGTCGCCCAGGAGAATTCCTTTTCCTTCCTAAAACGGGTGACCTCCAGGAGGCTCAGAAAGGATGGGCCACAGCCCCCACAGACGGGGAAACGCCTTCCCGAACCACCCGAGCCAGTGGGGCCGGGGGGCCGGCCTGGTCCGCAGGGAAGCAGGCCTCAGGGGAGCGCGGCAGTCCCAGAAAGGGGTCCTCTTTTGGGGTGCTCGTGTTTGGTCAAGAGCCCTAACCGCACGGACCCTGGGCTCTTTGCGGGAGGACGTGCGCTGAGGTTTGCTATTCGGTCGAGTCACCCATCTTGATGACTCAGAGTCTCGAGCTCGCTCGGTCCGGCGCCCGTGGTCCGCGCCGGGAGACCTGCCGGCTCCGGGCCCGGCTCCTCCGCGGACCTCACCGCCCGGCCAGCGCCCGCGCCTGGCACTGCCCACCCCCGCCCGCGGCGCGCCCACCCAGGCCCGGGCCGCGCGGCGGCCGCTCCGCTCGGATCCGCTCGGGGCCGCGGGCCGGTGGGGAGGGGCAGGGGCCGCGTTACCTAGGAGACGCTCGAAGGTGCCGCTGCCGCGCCCCATGGCGACCCGGACCCGACCCGACGCCGAGGCCTCCTTTGCCGCGAGCCAGCGCGCCCCCGACTTCCGCTTCCGCCTTCCCCCCTCGCGGGCGCGCGCACGCACACGTCGCCCTCCTCCGCCCGCGAGGGGGCGGCCTTTCCGCTCGCTCCAGACTCTGCGCGCCGATTGGCCGCGGCTGCGGGACGACCAATGAGCAGCCCAGGAGGCGAGGCTCGTCCAATGGCAGCGGAGCCGGGGGCGGGCCTTGCGTCCCCGCGGGGCGGAGCTACGGGGGCCGAGCCGGCGCGAGTGGCGGGGATGTGCCTGCTGCTCGGGGCCGCCGGCGTGGGCAAGTCGCTGCTGGTGAAGCGGCTGCAGACTATCCTTCCGGCCGGGCGAGGGCCCCGGGGCGGCGGGGGCGCCTGGGGGTGGGCGCGGTTTGGGGGGCACCTGGGGTGGGCGACGCGGGACTCTCCGGAGGCGGTCGGGGTCGGGGTCGCCCTGGGGGCTGGAGAGGGAGCCCGGGGGTCGGGGCGGCCTGGGCGGAGTCCGCCTCCGCTGCCCGCTGCCCCGCTGCCCGCTGTGGTCCTTGACCGCCTCGCACAGCTGAGCTCTCAGGATGGGAAGGGCGACCTGGGCGATCCTCCTCCGACGCGACCCACGGTAGGCAGCGCGCTCCCGCACGTTTAGCTGAAACGGCAGCCCTTGCGTTTTTTAAGTATATGTATGTTGTTGATTTCTTACAAATAGGGAGAGGGACAGAGTCAGAAACATCGACCAGCTGCCTCCTGCACACCCCCTGCTGAGGATGTGCCTGCAACCAACGTACATGCCCTTGACCGGAATCGAACCCGGGATCCTTCATTCTGCAGTCCGATTCTCTGTTAAGGGCATTCTTGTGTTTTGCCAAGTGCTTTGGCTTCTTACAGGGAGGGGACCTGGAACCCCGCCGGTCGATGAGCTCAGTACACCCCCGGTGGACGCTGACTCTGGCCACAGGCAGCGGGAGGGGGAGGGCCCAGACGGAATCCCCTCTTCCCTACGGTTCTGCTTTAGGGCCCGCGGCCTGGAGAAGGGCCTTTTGAATTTGGGTCACAGTGTGAAGGGCTCCGCACGGCGCTCTGCGGGGGTCCCCGTGGGAAGGGGTCGCGCTGGTCTCTGCACCCTGCCTCTCCCCGCAGGTGGGCACCAACCTCACGGACATCGTGGCCCACAGGAAGATCACCATCCGGGAGCTGGGCGGGTGCATGGGCCCCATCTGGCCCAGTTACTATGGAGACTGCCGTGCCCTCCTGGTGGGTCCCAGCCCGGGAACTCCTTTAGGGGAAGTTTGCCCCGAATGGGTATTGTCTGGTCCGGGACCTGTCTGTGTGCGGATGGAGTTTGGGTTCCTGAGCGACTGTGCTGTTTCCCTCTGGGAACTCGGTCTGCCCTGGCGGTCCCCCTGGCAGCTCTCGGAAAGGCCCAGAAGGCCTGCTGAGGGGTGTGCCTGCTCTGCACAGCCCTTGGCTGCAAAGTCATCTTGCTTGGCTCGTCTCAGCCAGGGCTGTGGTGCTGGGGGGGGGGGGGGGGTTGGCAGGGGCTGCCTCCATCAGAGCAGTCCTGAAGTTCACCCTTCTCCCCAGTTCATGGTGGATGCCTCCAACCCCACCCAGCTCTCGGCGTCCTGCACGCAGCTCCTGGGCCTCCTCTCCGCAGAGCCGCTCGCAGACGCACAGGTCCTGATCCTCTTCAATAAAACGTACGGGTCCGTGGGCCTCAGGGGAGCACAGAGGCCCGGGGAAGGGTGGCCTCTAAGGGAGGGGTGCAGCGGGGGTCGGGTGGGCTTGCGGGGCCACTTTAACCAAGCACCCCTTTCGCTCCAGTGACCTGTCCTGTTACATGACCGTGGAGGAGATGAAGTCGTTAATCAGGCTCCCAGACATCATTGCGTGTGCCACGCAGACCATCACCGTGGCAGACGTCAGTGCCCGGACGGGCACGGGCTTGGCCACGGTGCTGCAGTGGCTCCAGGACACGCACGGAGCCGGCCGGTGACATTGGGTGGGGGACGTGGCTGGACCGCCCTATGGGGAGGAGGCAGAGGGCAGCCCTGCTCGGCCCCCGGAGGTCTGTGCTTAGGAAGAGGAGGACCCGGTGTGGGGGCTGCAGTGCGGGGGGCAGTGGTCGGTAAGCCGAGGCACCCAGGTGCAAGTCCTGACGGCTGATGGAATGAAGACGGTCCGGGGCTGGGGAGCAGCCGGCTGGCCCTGAGCACCCGGGCAGCGGGCAGGCAGGAGGGTCTGGTGGAGCTTGGTGCCACTGAGCTCATGACGACATCGGCGAAGCCCGTTCTCATTGGCACGTCTCGAGGTTACACTTGAATGTATCTCTTTGGGCCACTATTCCACCTCCTGTGATTGGTAAGGAGCCATCCGCCGAGTGTGTGACCCCTCAGGCACTCGGTGCTTCTGGCTGCACCTGTTTGCTTCCGGCTCTTTGTTGTGCAGGGCCCGTGGACGCCACGGAGCAGCCCTGGACACGGGCCATCTCCACTCCTCCGTGGAGTCCCCGTTGATTTCACAGACAATGTGAGACCCGGAGGGCGTTCAGACACCTCCCAATTTCAGAGCACCCCCCAATTTCAAAGCCCGAGTAAAGGCGAGAAGGGTGAGAACTCTGGGCTGTGAGTCATCCCTTCTTCAGCCAAGAGTGCGACTCCCATCGGGCAGCACGTGAGCTCCAGGCACAGCAGGCAGGCAGCCCCTTTTCTCTGTGAACCTGCATTATGTAAACTATGTTCTCCGTTCAAAAATGACTTAAAACAGCAACTTAAAGCCTGGAAACACAAAAGATCTCAGCTGTATTTCCAGTCGGTACAACAGCCAGAGAGAAGAACCTGAGGTGACAGTCCAACACCACTGCCGAGAAAACCAAAATCTTAGCCCTCGTTCCGCACGTTTATGTTAATACTGTTCACATTAGAGCCATTTTGTTTGTTGGAGGATAAGACACGAAAATAGAAAGTGTAAAATATTAAAAATTTAATAGCTAATCTCAATACAAATTGAGAACTGTAGTTACATAAACACATTTTAAAAATTATACTCCTAAGGCCTGTCTGCAAAAAACGGTCTAGAGACAATGACATCTCAGCATCAGAGAACATTCCTAGAACCCAGATGGTCTCAGCGCCACACCCCCGTGAGGGACCTGGTCCCGGACAGAAGTGACTCCGTGTGGCAGGCGGGGGGGGGGGGGGGGGGGGGGGGGGGGGGGAGGAGCACCTGCGCCGAGGGCTGGGAACCCCGTCGGGTCAGTGTCAAGCACTAGGTCTTGTTTGGAGGACTGACAACTGCCAGGCAGCCCTCCAAGGACCACCCCAGTCCTGACTCCACGGAGGAGTGGAGATGGCCCGTGTCCATGGAGAAATGCTTCCTGTGCCCGCCCCTCACTGTGGTGCTGTCATAGGTCTCCACATCAGGACTAAGGCATGCACCGACTCCAGCTGCCTCTGGGGACTGGCACTGGGAGCCGGTGGTGTAGATGCCGACCCTGTGGGTCCTGCCCCCACCCTCCCCGCACTGCTGCCCCGCCTCCAGCCCAGCCGTGCTGCTCCCGTGAATCTGGAGCCTGTGAGGGATTCGGTTCACCCGAGTCACAGCTTCTACAATCAACTGGCAATTAGGGATGGGATCGGGATGGGCCTGTGTGAGAACAGCTGAGGGCGATGCTGGGCTCCGGGACAGGTGTGAGGGGCTGACTCAGCCAGGCGCTGGCCCTGCCCTGGGGGCCGGGCACAGGCGATGTCCTGGCCCGGGCCTGGTGGATGGTCTTGCTTGAGAGACTGGAGCCTTTTCCCGAACCCTGAGCCGGTGCTCCAGGCTGTGTCCGGGGTGTGCCAGGGAAAGGCCTCTGATCTGGGGACGCCCTGCCCTTCGCCCCACCTGGTGCAGGAACCCTCGTCTCTCAAAGGCGGGTCTCTGGCTTCTTCCTGGGCGGGAGGGGGGCTGACGGAGGCCCCTGCGCCTGCCGCTGCGCCTTCACCGCCCGGTAGGCCTGCACCGCCCGCGCTCTCTCCTCCGCCACAATCCGCTGCCGGGCCATGGAGGCGGGCGGAGGCCGGGCCACACCGCCGGGGCCCAGAAGCCTCGCCAGCATCAGCGACTTCTTGCCAGGCTGAGGGCCAGACAGAGGGGGCACGGGGTCAGGAAGGGGGAGGTGACAAAGCCTGGCCCCAGAGCCCCTAGGCCCCGTGAGACCCGCCCTCCCGGGGCCCAGGGCAGCCGCCCTCCTCACCTGACCCGTGCTCCCGCTCTTCCTGGGCTGGGCGGTCAGCTCGGGGGGCTGCAGGGCGACCTCACCAAACTTCACCGTGTCTGGAGGGCAGAGGAGCGCGCCTGAGCCGCTGAGTGCCCACCCACCGACCCGGGGCACATCCGTGCCGCCGGCCCCACCCCCACCCGGGCCGACAGTCCCGCAGGGCGAGCCAGCCACCTCGGAGCAGCTCCCGCTCCAGCCTCTCCGCGGCCTTTTCCTCCCTCTTCCTCCGGACCCGGTCCCGCCGCCGCTGCTGGAACCTGGGGGGGAGCGCAGCGCTGCCGTCCCGGCTCCGAGGCGCGAGGGTCACCCTGCCCTCAGGGGCGCCCGGCGGCTGCCTCCAGCCCCCGCCCCTCAGCACCCCGCAGCTCTCCACCAGAGGCCTCTGAACCCCGCCAGCCAACCGCTGTCAGAGGGAGACACCTGGCCCCCTCTTCACAAGGAGGCTGACAGGGTCACTGCTCAGGGCTCCCACGCTCCTCTGGAAGGAAAGGGGACGCTGGGAACACCCCCAGTCCTGGTCCAGAGAGATACGGGCACCCGCTCACCAGAGGGGTATCCAGGGCTGCCTGTCAGCCTCACCCAGACCTCCACCCACAGTCCTGACTCCCACAGGGTGGGCATGGTCCTTGGCAGTCAGCTAGCCTCCTGGGGGGAGGGGAGGACACTGAGCCTCATCCTTTCTCCACCTCCCGACAGCTACCAGCCTGGCTGGACCACTGGCCCCAACCTGCGCTGGCTCTTGGCCCCGTGACGACTTTCCACAGAAACAGAGACAGAGCTAGGCCCCCAGAGTTCCTGGGTCAGAGCCTCCCTGACCCCCTACCTACCCCCTCCCACCAGGTGACCAGGGTTTTCAACCTCTTTCCTGAACCACTGGGGTTGCCCCTGGCAACAGAAAACCATCATAGGACCCCGAGCCCCACCAGCCCCTACTCACGCTTTCTTCCCCTCCGACTTCTTCTTGGGAGCCACCTCCGCCTCGGGCTGCTGGTCGGCCTGGTTTTTGCTGAGAAACAGCACGTGCTGGGCCTCCTGCTCCATGCGCTGGATGTAGGCCCCGTCAGACTCCCACTTCCTCCGCTTGAACTTGGGGACGGGGATGTCTGGGCCCACTCCCCTGGCCTCCTTCTCCAGCGTCCTTCTGAAGGCCGCCTGGGCTGCGGGTAAAGACATGAGGCGGCTGTGGCCCTGCAGACCCGGCCCTGGGTCAGTGCTCGCCCCGCCCCCTCGGAGCACTGGCACACCCTTGGGTATTTGGACAATTTCGCTCTACTGGCCACGCACACGGCCCGCACATTACCCTCTTTCTTCCTCTTCTTGTTACTGACAGGGTTTTTCATCTCCTGGCGGCTCCTCATGATCTCCCGGAGGCGGAAAGGGATTTCCTGTTCATCCTGGTTCTTGGGCTTGCAATTCACTTTCTTCTTTTCTTGGCTGAGAAGGAGAATACGGGGGTGAGCTGTGTCCTACCTCCAGCAGAGCAGGGTCGGAGAAAACCAAGTTTTGCAGGCCGCCCTAGCTGAGGTGGGGCATGCGGGTCGAGGCAGCATCCTCCCCCGGAGGCTGTCCCTCACCCGGGTGCTCGCTGAACACTCCGAGCGCCCCAGGGGCCGCCGCTCCCTGACCTCCCCAGGATGGCCAAGACGCCCCCTGGAGGTGGCAAGCGTCCCTCCTCGCGCCTCCAAGCGTGGCACGGACAAGGCAGAATGCCAGGGGCCCGGCAAGGGGAGAGGCCGGGGCAGAGGCGTCAGGGGGGTGAGACCCACCTGCGCGGCCTGGGCCTCGGCGCCGGCTGCTTCCCCAGCAGCTGCTGCCGCCGCCCCTGCGGCCGCTCCGGGCCCCTAGGCCCCCCGGTCTGCGGGGGGCCCGCTGCTCGGAGCTTGGCTCCCGGCATTTGCACGCGCCGGGTCTCGGGGAGAAGCCACTTCCTCTCTCGCGGGCGGTCCCGCCCCTACGGCCGCCACTTCCGCTTCCTGCACTGAGCCCCACGCTCATTGGGGCGGTGCAGCTCCTAGCCGTGTCACGATTGGCTAAGGCGGCCGCCGCTCACGCCCCGGAAGGGGCGGGGACTGGAGTCCGCTTGCGCAATGGGTCGGGCCGCGGGCGATGCTGCTGCGGAGCGTAGCTGCGGGCGGCCGGGCGGCGGTTTCAGCCTCCCGGTGCTCGGTGAGTTCCTGGTGGGGGTGGCCGGGGGGCTGGGGCGGCTCGGACCGGGGAAATCCCGGCCTCCCCGTTTCCCAGGGACCGCGGCCGCAGCCCGCGCCGCTGGCGGGCAGGGCAGCCTCGGACGCCGCTGGTCCGTGCTGCCCCCGCTGGGCCCGCTCCCGGTCTGCGGGGAGGGCTGCTTTGCTTCTGGGCCGAGCCCCGGAGTTGGGCCGGCGGGTTCTGGCTCCTCCACCGTCCGGCCATAACCAGCAGCGCCTGCTGCACGGCGCCCTTTGGGGAGGCCGCAGTGAACAGGGCGCCGGTGCTCCCGGAGCTGGAGACATGAGTTGTGGCTGCGTGAGTCGGTTTTCCGCGCCCTGGAGACACGTGGAGCTGGGAAGGGGCCCCGGGGCTAGGCCGGGGCTGGAGGAGGCCGGGAGGCTGCCCGCGGGCTATGTGGGAACCCGGGCCGCCTGGGCTTCTCCTGGACTGAAACAGGAGGAAGGGATGAAGCCGTCCGTGAGATGGGCAGCGGGGACGGGCCCTCTGTACGGGCTAGAGGGCGAGGTGGCGTGGCTGGGGGTGCCAGGCTTCCCGCCACCCTCCACCTGCTGGAATGCGTCCCCAGTGACAGGCCCTGGCTCCGGCATTTGTCTTCAGTCGCATCATGTCATCCTCAGACCAATCATCACATCCGGTTACAGAGGGAAACCGAGTCTAGACTTGTCTAAGGTGCCATGGGAGTGAGGAAGGTGGGGGGCTGCGGAGCCTTCTGCCATTGCCCCGAGGCTGAGATTCCCATGGAGCTGGGGGCGGGCCGGGCCGGGCCAGGCCTGACCAGCTTCCTGGAGACTCAGAGGCCTGTTTTGTTCTTAGGGGCCAGGCCGCCTCGCCGGCTGGGAATGGTGCCTCGGGCTTCCTGGAGGCGGCGGCGCTCTGCACAGGCGCCGCGCCTGGATCCCGGTCCGGGAAGGCCGCAGAGAGCTGGGGCAGGACCATGGAGAGGGGCGCAGCTCGCCAGCAGGTGCAGGCGGCACCCGGCACCCGCCTGGCGGGAGCACCTCCGAGGCCCCGTACCCCCCGCCACCTGAGCTGCAGCCCCCCACAAACTGCTGCATGAGCGGCTGCCCCAACTGCGTGTGGGTGGACTACGCGGACGCGCTGCTGCAGCACTATGGGGACGGCGGGGAGCGGGCGCTGGCCGCCCTGCAGGAGCACGTGACGGACGAGAACCTCAAGGCCTTCCTGCGAATGGAGATCCAGCTGCGCATGCGGAGCCGAGGCTGAGTGCCCGGGAGCCCCCTCGTCCTGGGCACAGCGAGAGGCTGGGAATCGACTTCACCTGAAAGTAAATAAACTCTCTGCTGGGGAGACAGAGGCCTCCGTGTCTCAGATAGTCACTGAGCCCCTGCAACTGCACCAACTGGGGGGGTGGGGGTGTGTGAAATGAGACTCCTTTCCTTAAACATTCAAACGACACTCACCCCGGGCTCCCCTCCATGTCCCAGCACCCTGCAGTCCTCCAGGAGGTCAGCTATGGTCACTCCGCAGTGGGGCAGAGGGAGGCCTGTCTGTCCCAGGAAGTTGCCCTTGGCAAAGCCCTTGGCAGCCGGGGACGTTGCCCGTTTGTCCCTGAGGAGACTCCCATCTGCCGGCCAAGTAGCCGCTGCCCATCAGCCTGCAGGGACCTGAGCCCTGGGAGCCACCGTCCTTCCAGCCCGCGTGGGTGCTGGCCAGGGGGACTGGGAGGCCTCAGGCATTAACCCTAGAACCAGCATCCCCGCTCCGGCCTCGTCCTTGGCTGCAGACCTGGCCACGGACCATCGGCCCAAGTGGGACTTTATCTCAGGCCCTCGCTGCCCCTCCCTGTCTTTCCTCATCCTCATCCGTGGAAATTCCCCACCTCGCCCCCACCCCAGCAATCCCAGCTCCGATGCCAGTGGCCTGGGCGGGGCAGGAGTAAAATAACCTGTGCCGGTTTATTTCCTCGTGTAAGGGAAAAGCTGAGGTTGTAACATGACTTCATGTTTGAGCTGACAAACCGGCCTCCCCTTTGACGTGAAGCTAAAAACAGTGCTAAAAAAATAAAAATTAAAACAGTGCTAGTTCCGGTGGGGCCTGTGAGGTGCTGTGGGCACCAGCAGGGAACTCCAGATGCACGCCAGGGCCAGGGCCGCCCTAGGCACAGCCCACAGGGACCCCGAGTCTGACTGCTGCCGGGCTGCCTGCAGGCCGCAGCGTGTCCGGGCACGCAGGGTTTTCTGGAAGCCGGTTGGAACTGGGCTGAGGTGGGGAGGCCCAGACGGCAGCGTTTCGTCTCTGTCTCGGAAGAGCAGCTTCACGGGGGCCCTGCCCAGCTCGCTGTGCCTGACCACGCTCACACACACACACACACACACACACACACCCCCAAATGCTGGGGAGTCCCAAGCTCACCCTCTCTTCCTTCAGGCCCTGACTGCACCGATCCCCTCCCCGTCCCCTGGAATCCTGGGTGGTGCCCGCCCAGTGGCCCCGTCAAGCCCATTAGTGTGGCGTCGGGGCCGTGCTAATCCGCTTACCCGGGGCAGGATAAATGCCGGCTGACCCCTGGTGAGGGAGGCCGCACGCACACCGATGCCCTGAGGCTGCCCGGTGCCTGGTGAGTAGTGACCGCCCCGCTGTCTTTCTGGCAGCCGCTCCCCGAGGGTGTTCGTGGGCATCCGCGCAGGGTGGGGAGCAGAGGCCTGGTCAGGACGCACAGCTGATCCTCTGCTCCCCGAGGCAGACGGTGCAGGCCGTCCCCATGCCAGCTAGGCTGGGAGTCCCACTCCAGTCACCCCTCAGGGCACCAGCCGGGAGCCTGGCTGGGGCTGGGGCGGCTCAGGCAGCGGTTTCCATGGGGGCGGCACCTGCCGCTGAAGCTCCCTCGGGGCACAGCTGTCCACGCCAGGTCCGGGGCCCAGGACGGGAAAGGACCCGCCAGGCCTGCCGCCATCCACCTCGGGTCCTCCTGGGTGGTTCTGATCCCAGCACAGAGGCTGAATCTTAGGGAGGAAGGTCCAGGGCGGGGCCATCCCAATCCCAGGCACCCAGCACCCCACTGAGCCTTCCTAGCCAGTGGGACCACCCATCCTTGCATTGCAGCCCACCAGACGGGGACAAAGCAGAGGCCGGCGCTGGGCCTGTGGTGGGCACAGCAGTCCTGTCTGTCATGCTGACCCCGAACCCTCCGCCCCGGTGCCCGGGGATTAGGCGTCCTCCGCTGCCAGTAGGCTTAGAGGAAGCCGAGCTGCCCTTGTTCAAGGCCAAGGTCACGGCTTAGGGCATTGGGGGAGGGGAGGGGAGAGGAGGTCACCTGGTCAGTGTTGTGGGGACACCACAGACACTAGGCCCAGAGGGGAGACTCCTGTGAGACGCCCTTCCTGCCGGCGCCCGGCCTCCACCCTGGGCCCCCCATCGGCACTGCTGGGTGGATGAGACTGTGTCCCAGCCTCGGAGGAGGGGTGCCTGGGGGGGGTCCCATGAAGGGGCCTGGCTGCCGTCTGGGCCATGCCGAGGCCCCGGGTCTCACACTTCAGGGTTCCGTCTGGCGGGGGGGCAGGAGGCTGACGATCCCACCTGGTCTGCCCCCAGCGCCCAGCCTGCGGGAGTCCGGAAGCCATGAACCTGGAGCCACCCAAGGCCGAGGTCCGCTCAGCCACCAGGGTGACGGGGGGCCCCGTCACGCCCAGGAAAGGGCCTCCCAAATTTAAGCAGCGGCAAACCAGGCAGTTCAAGAGCAAGCCCCCCAAGAAAGGTGTCCAAGGGTAAGCAGAGCTGGCTAGGGTGCCTCTCCAAGGGGACGGGGGTGGGGGGGGCCCAGCAGGAAGGCTCACTGTCCTACAGACCATCACGGCCACCGGCAGGGGCCCTGTACTCACACGCACACGCCACCCACAGGTGCACACGCAAGGCACATCCTACGCCACACTCGGGCACGTGCACACATTCAGACACTCCACACTCACCTGCTCACCCTCACACCTGCACATGCTCACACCTGCACATACTCACACCTGCTCACACTCACACCTGCACACACTCACACTCTGCACTCACACCTGCACACACACTCACTCGGCACACACACCTGCATTCGAGGGCAGACACCCCCACCCCCTTCCGTTCATCATGGCCGCCGTCCTGACGGCTGTGTGCTTGCAGGTTTGGGGACGACATCCCTGGAATGGAAGGCCTGGGAACAGGTATGACCATGTGGGTCCCCCCCCCCCCGAGTTCTCCCCCCTCACCTGCCCACAGCAGGCACGTCCCGGCCTCTGGCTTCCCCAGGCCCGGACTCCCTTAGGGACGTCCCGGCCTGTCCTTCCTTTTCCCCAACATCACAGGTGAGGCCCCCTGGAGGGGCTGGGGGAGGAGGAACCCTGCTGCCCTCCCTGTGCCTGCTGCACCCACCGTCCCCGGTTGGCGGTGTGGGCAGCGGGCGCTGAGGGGACGGCGGGCCCCTTCTCCGCAGACATCACGGTCATCTGCCCGTGGGAGGCCTTCAACCACCTGGAGCTGCACGAACTGGCCCAGTATGGCATCATCTAGCCGCCCCGCGTCCGGCCCGCGGCCCCACCCCCACGCAGCCAGGCGTCAGGACTGCAGGGTCGCGTCTGAAGACCTTCAGAGGGCAGCGAGGGCAGGCCCCCTGCCCGACCTCCGGAGCCGGGCCCACACCCCCTCCCGCAGCTGGAAGCCAGGGCTGGCGCCGCTGCCAGCGCGGTGGGTGGCCACGCTCAGGGTCGCTGTTTCAAAATAAACCATCCTCATCGCTGGCTGGTCTGGGGTGTTGGGACGGGTGTGGGTCACCTCCACAGGAGCGAATGGGTGAAGGCACAGGGCGGTGGGGCAGCAGCGGCCTGGCCAGGCAGCAAGGGAAGAAAGTCCCCTGGCCCCTGAGCCTGGACCCGTGGTGGCTGGGCCGTGCGGCCAGGCCAGGGCTGGTGGCAGCCCCGAAGGAGGGAACTCCTCTCCCAGGGTGCGGAGATGGTGGGCTGGCACCTGGGACCCAGCGATGCGGCTCCTGACTCCACCCCCGGGAGATGCAGGTGCCCACGGGGACCTGTGCCAACGGATAATGCACGTCCACGTGGCCAGGTGCAGGGGCCAGACCACGACTCTCCAAACGGCCCGCTGGGGCCCCAGAAAAGACCACCCCAGAGCAAGGGGGTGAGCCATACAGGGGTGGCCGAAGGCGGTCGGGAGCCTGAGGGCGTGTCCGGGGATAAGAACTCCTCACACTGCCCATTTGAGATCGGAGCCGTTTACTGTGTGAACGATGCATCCCGAGAAGGGACCCTCCCCAAACAAGCCCTCGGGAGGGAGAGGCTGGGGTCCGGGTCACAGCGGGCAGTGCTGGGGTGAGGGTCTGAGGATGCCCCCAGGGTGTCAGACAGAAGGTCTGGGTCCGAAGTGGGCGCAGGCGGTGGGACTCAGCTGGGGGCTGGGCAGCAGGATCTCGTTCAGCCCCTGCCCCTCGGGGTGATGGCCTTGGGGCCAGACTGACCTCTGACCAGAGCGGGTTATAGGCAGGGGGAGCTGCCAGGGGGGCGGTCCCGGGGCAAAAGCCTCTAAGGAAGAAATCAGGCGGCGGTCGGGCTTCACCTTCGGGTGCCAGCAGGTCCAGGCGGGCACCGAGGGCGGGGAGCCCGGGCGGAGGCGCAGCAGGTGGAGGAGGCGGTGTCCAGGCTGCAGCCCAGGTCAGCGGGAGGCCGGCGCGGACAGGGCCCGGGCGCGCGGCCTGCAGCTCCCCGGCGCCGCCTGGCGGCCGCCCAGGACCCACAACAGGTGCGCGGCCGCCAGCAGCTCCGCGCCCTGCGCCAGCGCCGCCGCGATGGCCGCGCCGCCCGCCGCCCGCACCGCCCCGCGCAGCCACCGGCCGAGCGGCGCGCCGCAGCCCTGCACGTGCACCCGCGCCCGGGCCGCCGCCTCCGCCAGGCGCAGCGCCCCGAGGCCGCACTGCTGGTTGACGGAGGCGCCGCCCTGGCGGGGGTCCAGGCAGCAGGAGGCGGGCAGGCTGCAGGCCTGGATGCCGGGGGCGCTGCAGTTAAAGTACCTGCGGGGGAGGGGGGCGTCAGGGTGCGAGGGAGGGGCAGGGTTCCGGGGCCCCCCCCCCCCACCTCCACACCGTCCCAGGCCACACTCAGGCCCGAATGCACACGCAGGAGGCACGGGGGTGAGTGCACACGCAGGAGGCACGGGCACAGACACAGACACAGACACGCACGCAGCGGCGGCGGCGGCGGGAGAGCAGCCGGAATTAACCTAAAAGCCATTTTCATTTGACCCTGAGCTGTTTCCGTGCGCCGCCCTCTCGGAAAAACACCCTGAAGCGACCTCCCAAGTCTGCTGGCTGAGCTCTGCATGGCCGCCTGACTGCACGGGGGCGTGCGTACGAGTGTGTGCACTGGGTGTGTACGAGCGAGTCCGTGTGGGCCTGTGAGGAAGTGAGTGTGCACCTGGGTGTGTGGACGAGTGTGTGCACCTGGGGGTGTGTGTGTCCCTGTGGCCATGTGAGGAAGGCAGCCCCGGGGTGTCAGGACTCACAGGTTTTGCTGCCAGTCCTGGTAGGAGGCCGCCCCGCAGCACTGGGTGTGTGTGAGTGTGCACCTGGGTGTGTGTGTGTGTGTGCACCTGGGTGTGTGTGTGTGTGCACCTGGGTGTGTGTGAGTGTGCACCTGGGTGTGTGTGAGTGTGTGCACCTGGGTGTGTGTGAGTGTGTGCACCTGGGAGTGTACGAGTGTGTGCATCAGGACTCACAGGTTTTGCTGCCAGTCCTGGTAGGAGGCCGCCCCACAGCACTGCAGGCCGAGCTGGACTTGGTCCATGAGGAAGCGCAGGTCAGGGTCGTCCTGGTAGCGGGTGATGGCCACCCGCAGGGCGCGCTCCAGGCCGTCCTGCAGGGGGCCCCAGAGGGCCGCCACCAGGGCCCCTGCCAGGGCCTCCAGCACCAGGAAGGCCAGGAGGCCCCCGGAGAAGCAGCGCAGCAGGCAGGCGCTCTCACAGAGGGCGCCCAGGCAGCCCGCCAGGCTGACCGCGCTGACCGCCAGCCCGCCCAGCACCAGCCCCAGCATGGGGTCCGCAGGCAGGGGGCCCCCCCAGCTGCTCCCCAGGGAGCTCTTGACAGCCAGGCCCCAGAGCCCGGCGGCCAGGGCCAGCAGGCCCAGTAGAGAGGACAGGAAATTGCACAGAAAGATCAGGCCCTGGAGGCAGCGGCTCCCCAGCGGGAGAGAGAGCCGGGAGGGGGCCCCACTTCCCCCCAGGCCTGCCCCCCAGGCCCATCCTTCCTGGCTCTTGGAACCCAAGCAGCTGGTAGGGGCGGGCGGCTCCTGGCCCCCAGCATCCTGCAGAGGGAGGAGGGACAGGGGTCAGAGCCTGCAGGGCAGGGCGAGGGAGCCGGCGGATGGAGGGGGCAGTTCAGAGACCATAGACAGAAAGGGACATGAGCCTGGACACGGGGCGCTGGGGAGGTGAGGGGGTAGGAGTTGGGTGGTGGAGGGGGATGGGGAGGCCCTGAGGGGGGCCTGAGGCCCCGTGGGCACCGTCTCCTGGGCCTGGGCCTGGGCCTGCCTGGGGGCCTGAATGCACCCTGTGTGGGGTCAAATGCAAGGGCAAGGCTGTACCCCACTCCAGAGGCCAAACAGGGTGTGGGGTGCAGGGAAGTGCCTGATGCCCGACTGGGATCAGCCCACCCCAATGGTCTCCTCTGGGGCCTGAGGGGAGGGGGGCACAGCTCCAGGGCACTGACTTACCAGGGGTAGCAGGGGGCTCTTCTCCCCCTCCTCCATCCCCCTCCTCCAGGACAGGAGTGCTGGTCCCTGCAGCCTCTCTGGCGGGGACACGGACACGGGGCCTGGGCTGCCGTGTGCCGGCCACTCTGGAAGCCGGGAGCTCTGCCTGGGCCGGTGAGCCGGAGCCCCACCGGGATGCCCCAGTCACGATGGGATCATGTGAGGAGTCACATTTTAGGGCTCAAGGCAGCCTCTGCTTGTTGCAGCCGCCTTCTCTCTGTGCCGGTTCCCAGCCTCGCTCTGTGGCACCGCACTGGTGGGGCGGCCCACAGCCATTGCGGTGGGGCCCCCGTGTGGGCCTCGGCCTGGCAGTGTCCACGGCAGCTCCCCCTGTCTCCCCAGGGACAGGGAGCCCTGAGAACTGGTCACAGTGGCAGTCTCAGGCCACTTGCCCACAGCTGAATGCCTGTTTATCCTCATCTACTCCCTGAAAAAATGAGACAGGCCACGTCCTTCCTGGTTACGAGTGCGGAAACCCCTTTCACCATTCAAAACGTATAAAGTGGAAAATTGGGTCTCTGAATGGTCAGGTTAACTATTAACCGGTTAATGATTCAGGTTGATTATTAACCGGTTAATCGTGTGGATTGACTATTAACCGGTTAATAATACGGATTTTGTGATCCAAAGAAAACAGGGTAATTTCAAGAGAAATATCAAAAGTGCTTTAGTCAAAGGAATGTCCATCACTAGCTACACATTTCCCCCATCTTCCAGGTAATTTGTGGATACAGCCCCCCATAGAACTTCTCTTGTTTTGAGGCAGACCATTCAGAGACCCAATTGTCCACTGTGTACGTTTTTAAGTGCTGCTCAGAAAGTGCATGTGCCATCGATCGAAACAAGTGGTCATCTGAAGGAACAGCATTACAAAATAGCATAAATATCACATCGTGTATATATTAACATATGTGTAACTCCATCTATTGAAAAAAAATCGGCATTATTAACCGGTACACCTAGTGTTTATTAAAAAAGAACACACACAAAAACTCAAAGGGGTAGGACTTTGTCACGGTCACCATTGTGCCTAGTGCCTAATATACCTTAAGAAAGACCAGTGTTGCCTAAACCAGTTTGGCTCAGTGGATAGATCCCAGGTTCGATTCCAGTCAAGGGCATGTACCTTGGTTGCAGGCACATTCCCAGTGGGGGGTTGTGCAGGAGGCAGCTGATCAATGATTCTCTCTCAATGATGTTTCTAACTTTCTATCCCTCTCTCTTCCTCTCTGTAAAAAAAATCAATAAAATACATTAGAAAGAAAGAAAAAAAGAAAGAAAGAAAGACCAGTGTGCCCTGGGTGGTTTGGCTCAGTGGATAGAGCATTGGCCTGTGGACTCAAGGTTCCCAGGTTTGATTGCCGTCAAGGACATGTACCTTGGTTGCAGGCACATCCCCAGTGGGGGGGGTGCAGGAGGCAGCTGATGGATGTTTCTCTCTCATCAATGTTTCTAACTCTCTCTCCCTTCCTCTCTGTAAAAAACAAACAAACAGTAAAACACATTTAAAAGAAAAAGAATAAGAAAGAAAGAAATACCAGTGTAGCCCTGGCCGGTGCGGTTGTGGGTTTGATCCTGGTTGGGGCACTTACGGAGGCAGCAAATCAATATTTTCCTCACATCGATGTTTCTCTCTGTCTCTCTCTCTCCCTTTCTCTCTGAAATCAATAAAAACATGTGAGAGATGGAACCAATCCTTAAAAAAAAATTGGTAATGAAACAAGTCAATGGCACAGAATGTGTCCCAACCACTGACATTGAAACAGTAACAACAAAATCAGATGGAGGGGCAGGACGGCGAGAGTGGCAAGTTCCTGACTCTTTCCAGCACAGCAGTTAAATAAATACAATTTGAAAGTGAACTGCAGGCGTTAAAAAACATAGATTTTTGCCCCGACCAGTTTGGCTCAGTGGACAGAGCGTCGGCGAACTCTTGGATGTTTTCATAATTTCTTTTACAGTCAAGGGCCAGGTCAGCTACATTTGCAGGGCCCAGTGCAACATGCAAACCTGAGGCTCCTTGTTCAAAAGTAACAATTTTAAGACCGGGCGTTGGGCAGAGCTTGGGACCTTGACAGTCCAAAGTGGGGAGGTGGCGCCAGGGCACGCGGAATTCCGGACGTGTAGGCAGAGAGACATTCACTGAACTGCAGCCAAAGGGAAAAAAAGAAAGAAAACAAAACAAAAATAAATGCAGCTGAGCCCAGCCGGCATGCTCAGGGGACCGAGCGTCAGCCGGGGACTGAAGGGCCCTCTTCGCTGCCTGTTCAGGGCACACACCCTCGGCTCATCCCCAGGGCAGGACGCAGCCCATCCTGATGTGCTCTCGTCATCGATGTTTTCCTTTCCCTTCCCCTCTGAAATCAAGAAAAATATGTACATTTTATATTATTTAAATATATATTTTACTGATTTCTTTTACAAAGGAATGGAGAGTTAGAAACATCAGTGAGAGAGAAACACTAATCCTCCTGCACGCCCCCTACTGGGATGCGCCTGCAACCAAGGTACATACATACCCTTGACCCGAATCGAACCTGGGACCCTTCAGTCCGCTGGCCGACGCTCTACCCACTGAACAACACCGGTATCGGCAAATATATAAATTTTTGAATTGCAGCTCACTAGTCCTTTCCGCTAGCTCCAGGTGCACGCACACCCACCACCCCCTGGGTTTCCCGCGGGGCTGGGTCCTGGCTCAGGGCCGCGCCCGGCCCTAAGGGGCGGGGCCAGGTCCCCTAAGGGGCGGGGCGGATGCCGCGAGGGGCGGGGCGGGGCGGGCGCGGGCCGCCGTGCGCATGCGCGGCCGTTGGTGCGGCCGGAACCCAGGTTCGGGGCTGCGCGGCCGGCGGAGCGCGTTGCGCGAGGCACCGGACGTCGCGGCGGAGGCTGTCCGGCGGCGGCGAAGCTGGAGCGGCGGTGGCGGCGGCGGCGGGAGGCCGGGGCCGGGGCTGAGGCCGGGGCAGGGACCGCGAGGCCCGCGGGGCGGCAGGCGGCGGCCCGGGCGGCGAGCTCGGAGGCGGGAGCGGCCGCCATGGCCGAGAGCATCGTGAGTGGGGCGCCGGCGGGCGGGCGCGGCGCCGGGATGAGGCAGCAGATTTGCCGGCGCGGCCTGTGGCGGCCCCCGCGGCCCGCCGCCCTCCGCCCCGGGCCGGCCGCGGGGCCCGGCCTCCCCCCCACCCCCCGGGCCTCCGGGGCCCGCCCTGGCCCTCCCCGCGGGCCTCCCGCGGCGGCTGCCGGGGCGCCGGCGGGCGCGGTGCGGGGCTCCCCCGCCGCCCTCCGGCCGCCCCCGCCCCGGACGGAGCGGTGTCCCGGCCCCGGGGCCGCCGCGGCCTCCCGCGGGCCCTGGGGGCCCTCCCCGGGCGGCGGCCCCGGGGCCGGGAGGGTGACAGCTCCTGGCCGGGCGGGCCCCGCGGAAGTTCTTTCCTGAAGTTGGGACTCGCCACCCTCCTCGTTGTGCCCCTTACGGGACAAAAGGAAAAAGTCCCCGAAAATAGAAAACCGGCCGCGTTAACTCGTGGAAAGTTTTCCCTCCAAAGTCGACAGGGCGGGAGCAGAGTCAGCAGACGCGGTGGACCGAGGGCCCGGGGGCAGGGCCTGGGGATCCCCGGGCGGCACGGGGGCGGGCGGGGAGCGGCCTGGTCCGCAGGCTCGGGGCCGGGCCAGGGCCTCCCTGCGCCCCGCAGGGCCCAGCCCGGAGGGGACCCAGGGAAAGGCCCTCCTGGGGAAATGAAGCTCACCCATGGGTGGTGGCTTCTAGACACAGGCTGAGAGCTCAGACCCGCTTCCCATTGCCTCCTGACAGCCGCAGCCGCACCCGAAGGGCAGTCCCAGCCCGTTCCGCCCCCCAGATTGTGGGGAACCACAGGGGTCTTCCTCCTTCTTCCGGGATTGATCCACAGGTTTTTTGTTTTTGTTTTTTAATACTTTTATTGATTTCGGAGCGGAAGGGAGAGGGGAAAACATCCACAATGAGAGAGAATCATGGACCGGCTGCCTCCCGCACGCCCCACGCAGGAGATGGAGCCCGCAGCCCGGGCCTGTGCCCTGACCGGGAACCGAACGGTGGCCTCCTGGTTCCTAGGTCGATGGTCAGCCCCTGAGCTGTGCCAGCCGGCCAGGTGGTGGTTTTTAAAGTTGGGAGAGAGTCTTCTAAGAACTTCTGTAGGTATAACTGACCTTCATCTTGTCCATTCCTAGCCTTCCCCAAGAAGCTTTGTGAACTCATTCACTTAGAAATGGGGAAAGCTGAGCGGCCCAGGGCTGCGTCCCTGTGGCAGGTTTGCCTCTGCCTGTGTGTGTGTGTGTGTGTGTGTGTGTGTGTGTGTGTGTTTTGGGTGTGCTGTTTTATTGGGGGCCATGTTAGAAGTTGGGGGCAAGTTAAATGCTGGGCTCAGCGCTGTGGAGGGTCAAAGGCAGGTGCGGCCTCAGCCCCCAGCTCGTTCCCAGGTGTGGAATCGGAGGCGGCAGCTCAAAGCAAAAGCCAACAGTTGGGATTTCGCAGGGAGTATTGAAAACATTGTAAAACAGCCAAGACCGGTTTGGCTCAATGGATAGAGCGTCGGCTTGGGGACTGAAGGGTCCCAGGTTCGATTCCAGTCAAGGGCATGTACCTTGGTTGCGGGCATATCCCCAGTAGGGAGTGAGCAAGAGGCAGCTGATCGATGATTCTCTCTCATCGATGTTTCTAACTCTCTATCTCTCTCCCCTCCTCTCTGTACAAAATCAATGAAAACATCGTAAAAATTGAGGAGAATATGGAGCAAAGCCTCTTCAGTGAAGCTACCTTGTTTCCCAGAAAATAAGACAGTGTCTTATATTAATTTTTGCTCCCAAAGATGCGCTAGGTCTTATTTTCAGGGGATGTCTTATTTTTCCATGAAGAAGAATATGGTACACATTGATTGTTAAATGAAAATAAAGGAAATTTATTATCTGTATATGGTATGGTAGTACGGTAGTTGTCAACACAAACCAGACAAACTGTGAATCCTACAGTATCAAGAATTTACTTATTTATTCAATGACAATCATGTCATCATCTTCTGGAACATCATCATAACAGTTCAATTCCTGAATTTCCTGGTGAATTTCTTGTGATTCCATTTCTTTCAGAATCAGTGGACCAAATTTCTCATGTTTAGCCTGGGGGGGGGGGTGCTTATATTTCACTCAGAAGGAAAACTGTAAGTAGGACTTGTTTTTGGAGGATGTCTTATTTTCGGGGAAACACGGTAATAGAATATGAGGACAGTCAAGCTATTTTAGGAAAATCTGGATTATTCTTTGATTAGAGCAGACAGTAGAGCTGTTGTGGCATTTTGTCATGTCAGTGAATCTCATTTAAAACAATGGCTTTGACATTTTTCATCTGCCTAGTGTTTCAGAGGGGATCTTCTGGCATTTTCCTGTCTGGCATGCCCCCTCCCCTCCAGGTGCTGTCTCCTGCCCCACTCACCCTCCAAAGGGCTTTGGTCAGATGAAATCAGGTCCTGGGAAAGGATGCTGTTTTACATTTTCTTACAATCCTGCTAAGTGTCACACCACGTCACACACATTTCTTTTAATCTTCACCACAAGCCAATGATTTTAGAGGAATGGAGAGGGAGAGAGAGAAAAACATCAAGCCCGCAGGCCGATGCTCTACCCACTGAGCCAAACCAGCCAGGACTGGTACTTTTAAATCAGTCTAATGAGTGTCTAGATCCTGGAACAAAGTTTGGTCATTTTTGAGGAACCCAGTCCTTCATGGTTCATGGGCTTTTTTCCTTCCCTCTTTTTGGAACCTGAAGATGAACATGTCAGTGTTCAGATACACTCTGAGTGACGGCTGAGAGTTGAGGTGTGCTTCTGAGTGGAACAGTAAGCTGAGCATCAGCCCTCTGCGCCACCTGGGCACATGGCGGGCTCTGCCAGGGGGCGGGGCTCCGAGAGACTGCACCTGTTTCTGGGGATCGAGCCAGACCTTCCCACTTCCTGTAGTGACTGTCCTGTTTCGTTTACAACAGATAATCCGTGTTCAGTCCCCGGACGGGGTGAAGCGCATCACGGCGACGAAGAGGGAGACGGCCGCGGCGTTCCTGAAAAAGGTACCTGTGCGTGGCTTCCCGGCCAAGGCGCTCGCTCCTCCACGGACTCCCCCTCCCCCCCCCTCCCTCCTCCCCTCCCACCCGGTCGTCTCCTCTGCTTTTTCCTGTTGTGATTGGCTGGGTTGATAGAGCACCAGGTTGTGGCACAGCGTACAGTTCTAGGACCAAAGTCCCAAGGATTTAGAGACGGAGGGGGGGGGGGGGGGAGGACACACATTGACATGAGAGAGACACATCGATTGGTCGCCCCCGGATACATGTCCCAACCAGGGCTGGGATTGAATCTACAGTCCAGGTATTTGGCCTTGACCAGAAGTTGAACCTGAGACCATGTGGTACAGGGGCTAGTGCTCCAACCACTGAGCCACGGGCCAGGCAGAGGCTGTATTCATTTTTACCGGACAGTTTGGCTGCACATGTGCGCCCTCTGGGGCTTTGACCTGGCCTCTGCCCTCGCACACCGCCTGGGGAGGGTGTGTCGTCCTCTGGCACGGCTGGCTCCAGCTGCTGGCCCCGCAGCCAGTGGCCTTGGCCCTGTTGACACGTGGCCTCACGCCCTGTGAGGGAGCGGAGGTGGGCAGGCGTGCCGACATCCTGTCGTTGCAGATGCCTCACAGAACTCAGTCCTGGCTCTTGCCGCTCCTCCCTCAGCTCCTCCCAGTCCCTCTGCGTCTCGGCTGCCAGGGCAGTTTCTCAGGCTGCCTCCCGCCAGGCCCGCGCTGTCTGCCTTTTGCTTTCCCTCCTGAGACGGCTCCTATCGAGTCACCCAGGTCCACCTGTTCTTCCTCGGGGGCGGTTCCTGGTCCGGTCATAATTGGCTGCTCGGCAGCATGTGACGCAGTCCCTTCTTTTAACACTTGGAAGCTTTTTAAAACCATGAAATACAGACTGAGAAATGCTTGGAAAATGGTGACCCAAAGGCCCAGGTCACAGTGGGGGCGGTGCCAGCATTCCGGAAGCTCCTCCACCCGGCACCCCTCTCCTGACCCTTTTGTGTGCCACTCCCTCAGCGTGCCTCCCTGGCTTGAGTTTGTGGCGGAGTCGTGCTGCGTCCTCTCTCGTTGCCTTCGGCTGTGTTTGCAGTGTCTTCGGGTCCGGACCCCGCTCAGGACCCCGTTCAGTGCAGGCCTGCCTGTGCCGGGACAGCCTCCTTCCCGCCGCGCTCCTGAAGGTCTGCTGGGCTCCCGGCTCGCCATTCCGTGGTTTTCACCAAAGTGGAGGTTTCCAGCCATTTCCTTCAGGATGTGTCTCAGTCCTGTTCTGACTCTCTTCCTGAGGGTTCCTCGGCTGTTCACGTCCCTGTGTAGCTTCTGTTAGCCTGCTTCCATGTTAGCCGGCTCCTGCTGAAGCCCTCCATGGCTCTTCCTGCGGCTCCTGTACTGAGCATGGCGGAGGAGGCCCTGCTGCCACTCTTCCCGCTCTGCCCGTGGGCTCTGCCCAGGCCTGTGCTCGGCCTCCTCACTCTCCCTTCCCTGCCCTGGGGTCTCCATCTTTGCTCACTTTGTCTCCCTTGTTGGTATTTTATTTATTATATTTTATTGATTTTTTACAGAGAGGAAGGAAGAGGGATAGAGAGTTAGAAACATCGATAAGAGAGAAACATTGATCAGCTGCCTCCTGCACACACCCCCACTGGAGAGGTGCCCGCAACCAAGGTACATGCCCTTGACCGGAATTGAACCCTGGACCTTTCAGTCTGCAGGCTGACGCTCTATCCACTGAGCCACACCGGTTTCGGCTCCCTTGTTGGGATTAAGACCCTCGATGGCGGGAGCCTGTCTGTGTCACCCACTGCTCGGGCACCAGAGTGGAGCCCACACAAGGGCTGCTTGCTGCTGGTGCCCGTGCCTGTGGGCGTGGCCCGGCCCCGGCCCAGTGGGCGTTCAGCGCTGATGCACAGGCGTCTTCTGCTGCTTCGTTCTTGTCGTAGGGTCCACGTTGGAATTGGGTTTTCACACTTGATTTCAACAGAAGTTACACCTCCAGACAGCCTGGCTCTGAACTGCGCTCAGTCTCAGCGTTACATGGCGCTTTGCTCCTTTTTCGCCACTTCTCTCACGTGGCTCGGCCTCTGCCGTCCTCAGGAGAGCACTGCGGGGACCGGGAGCCCTTTCTGAAGGAGGAGTGTCCCGGACACCGCCGCTGCGTGCGGCCGGAGGACTGCGGAGCCGTCACTAAATCTCTGTCTGGGCCCTTTCAGGTCGCCAAGGAGTTCGGCTTCCAGAATAACGGCTTCTCGGTGTACGTCAACAGAAACAAGACCGGAGAGATCACAGCGTCCTCCAACAAGTCCCTCAACCTGCTGAAGATCAAGTGAGCACCCTGAGGGGCGGGTGTGTGTGTGTGCGTGTGTGCGTGCGTGTCTGCTTGTGTGAGCATTTTCCTCTGTGGTGCTCTTGGTGGCAGGGCCACGGGACGCTGTCAGTGTTCTGAGGCGGCTTCCCCAGGGAGCACGTGCAGCCACCAGAGGTGCCGTCAGAGAGACTGTGGGCGGTTTGTGCCGTGTTGTCCCGTGAGAACAGCACATGCAGCCCGCGTGTGGCTGAGGGGCTGAGCGCCACCAGTGGACCAGACCTCAGGTTGATTCTTGGTCGGGGGTGCGCAGGAGGCAGCTGATCAATGATTCTTTCTCATCGTTGATGTCTCTCTTTCTCCCTTTCCCTTTCTCTCTGAAATCAATAAAAATATATTGGAAAAAAAGAAAACCTGTGACCTGGGCAGAAATTCCTGACACCCCCCCCCCAAAAAAAAAAATAAAAAAATCCCCTGGCCCATTTGGCTCAGTGGATAGAGTTTCAGCTTGTGAACCAAAGGGTCCTGGGTTCGATTCTAGTCAAGGGCATGTGCCTAGGTTGCAGGCTCACGCAGGAGGCGACCAGTCAATGTGTTTCTCTCTCAGATATCTCTTTTTTCCTCTTCCACTCTCTCTGAAAAGCAATGGAAAATATCCTCAGGTGAGGATAAAAAAAGCAATACAGACAGTGTGTCTTTGAGATTCGAGTTTGCCTAACAGTGACGTGTGTGCGCCCCCGTGCGTGTGAGGAACAGGAGGAAGGAATGGAAGGATGTGTCCAAAGCGATAGGATGGGAGCTGAACAGGGGGCTTGGAGCGAATGAAGGAGAGTGGGGGCGGGGCCGAGCCGAGCAGGAGATGGAGAGAGAAGCTGCCGGCCCCCGGTCTGTGTTGTGACTACACTGACCTGACCGAGGAGGGTCTGCCGCGCAGGTCCACTCACAGGCAGGTATTCCCCAGGAAACACGCGGCTCCCCCAACGCAGATGAAAGCAGTGTCTTAGCCGGCAGCTGGAAATGGAGGGGTGGAGGGTCGTCTGTGATCAGAACATCGTAAGGAGGCGGTCCTAGCGCCGCGTTCCCGCGTCTGCCGGGTCCTCTGCGCGGGCTGGATAGGCAGGTGGGCGTGAGGCCCGGTGCTCACGTGCCGTTGGCAGGGTGGCGGGAAGGCACCGTGCAAAGAGCCTGCTGCTGGCTCTGAGCTGGAGCGGAGAGAGCCGGGAGGGGAGATGGGAGGGGGCCGGGAGGGGAGATGGGAGGGGGCCGGGAGGGGAGATGGGAGGGGACCGGGAGCGGAGATGGGAGGGGAGGCATCATGCAGAGAGCCTGCTGCTGGCTCTGAGCTGGAGCGGAGGGGGCCGGGAGGGGAGATGGGAGGGGACCTGGGAGGGGAGACAGGAGCGGAGACGGGAGGGGAGGCGGCGGAGCGCCCTGGCCTCTGTGAGGAGCAGAAGCCTCGGGCTGAGCCCGGCCCAGCCCAGCCTGGTCCTCACGCCCGGGGTGTGTGTGTGTGTGTGTGTGTGTATGTGTGTGTGCGCGTGCGCGCGCGTGCAGCCGGGAGCTGACGGAAGATGGCCTGGACTGATGTTTGCCGTTGAACAGGCATGGCGACCTCTTGTTCCTGTTTCCCTCGAGCCTGCCGGGACCCTCGTCGGAAATGGAGACTTCGACCTCGATGAACTTGAAGGCTCCCAACGTGGTGGAAGACGAGATCGACCAGTACCTGAGCCGGCAGGACGGCAAGATCTACCGGAGCCGCGACCCGCAGCTGTGAGTCCACCACGCGTCTGCTTGTAGCCAGGGAGGACCGAGAAGGGACCGGCTGACCCTGACTGCCCAGAGACCTGAGTGCTCCTGGCGGAGGGGTGAGGAGGGAGGGCAGGAGGAGGGCGACAGCGGGGTGCCGGCGTGTGCAGGGTGTAGTGAGGGGGAGCGGCTTTGGCGTCACGCACGCACTCGCTCCTGCTCCTCTGAGCACGGCGTGGCGGAGACGCCGCCCGGGAGCTGGCTTTCTGGGCCACACAGACGCCTGGCCGTGCGTCCGTGGGACTCAGTCCTTTAAGGGCCGCAGTGAGGACACCTGGCCTGCGCTCGGGAGCAGAGCTGCCTGGGTGAAGGTCCTGCCTGCGGCGGAGTCTTGCTAACGGCGTCCTCTCTGGGGTGGAGGCTCCAGATGCTGCTTTTGCGGCTGTCGGTCTCGGGTCCAAGAGCCGTCAGCACAGAGCGCCCTGGCACCTCTCCTCCTGGCTCCACTGCCTGCACCCGGCAGTGCCCTGAGCTTCCTGAGCAGCCTGTGCGTGTGCAAGCTGACCCCTCGTCTGGCCATGGAGCCTGCCTGTTGGAGAGCAGCCTCTCTCAGGAACGGGGACTCGGGCACCTAAGCGAGGGCCGTTTAGAACGGGCTCTGACACGGCTCAGCCTCAGAGCGTCACCAGCACGCCAGCCTCAGGCGGCAGCACAGCGCCGCTGCAGAGACGGTGCTGCTGACCTCTCTGCGCTGGCGGGGGGGGCGGCTGGAGAAGGGTTCTCTCTCTTTTAAAGGGGAAACCTCGTGTTAGCTTCCATGGGCACCCTGCCTGGCGCACAGGAGCCAAGTAATCCATGTGTCTCTCATGGATGTCTCCCCCTCCCTTTCCCTCCCTCCCTCCCATTGTCTGAAAAAGCAGTGCGCAGTGTCCTCAGGTAAGGATTAACAACAACAAAAAAGGATTCTGTTTGAGCCGGGAGGGACTGCTCGGCTTTCCCACCAGCCTATCCCCTCTCGTGCCCACGTGGCTTGTGTGTGTCCACGTGGCTTGTGTGTGTCCACGTGGCTTGTGTGTGTGCACGTGGCTTGTGTGTGTCCACGTGGCTTGTGCACAGAGCTCCCGAGGTTTCTCTGCCCGAAGTGACGGACCTGAGTCAGGCTTTTTCCAAACTCAGTTGTTTACCTCCCTCTGTGGGGTTCTGCTGTATCAGGGAGCCTTTGCTAGTACTTGCTTAAGATTTTTATTTGTTTAAATAACTAAGTCCCTTCACGTTCACTTTGTTGGTGGCCGCAGCAGAACAGGACGCTAACCACTGTGTGTGCCCTGCTCCTCAGGTGCCGCCACGGGCCGCTGGGCAAGTGCGTGCACTGCGTCCCGCTGGAGGTGAGTGCAGACTCCTACTTCCCGGCCCTCTCGGCTCTCCTGGCCTTGCCTGCGCTCGGTTAGAGGACGCGTCTCTTACTGCCCTGGCCTCGCCCTCCCTCCATGCAGGCTGCGCGGAGGCAGCCCTTATTTATGGCGGTGACCGTGGGGCGGATTGTGGCCGGCTCAGCACTGTTTCTGTGACGAAGGGCCGTGCTTACGGGGCTCCGGGCCATCCTTTAGCCCTGACACACAGCTGCGCCAGGCACTTTGTGCTCCGTCTTTTAGGTTTGCCTCGCCCCGTCCCACGTCTGCTGCTCCGTCTGGTGAGATGGAGAGCTGCCGTGGGCGCGCTGACGGCGACTGGCCGGGCTGAGCTACGGCAGGGCCAGCCCCTCGCCACGAGGCTTCTCTGTCTTCATCTTGTGACTTTTGGGGGGGAAATGTTCCCAATACTTATTTGACTTGGGGCGATTTATATTTAATAGGGTTCCATTTCCGTTTTCATCTTGAAAAGATAGGGACCCAAAGAAAAGGTGGCTCCGACCCAGAGTGGTAGAGCGCCAATCCCAGCCCCCCCCCGCCCGTGCCTGGCCCTCCTGCCGCACCCGTCCTCCCGCGCCAGCCTGCCGCCCGGCCGGCGGGAGCGCAGGTGGTGATGCTGACTGTGTCTCGGCAGCCGTTCGACGAGGACTACCTAAACCACCTGGAGCCGCCCGTGAAGCACATGTCCTTCCACGCCTACATCCGGAAGCTGACCGGGGGCGCCGACAAGTGAGTGCCTGCGGGGGTCGGAAGGTGGGCTGTGAGAGTGGGTAGGTGTGGCTTGAAGCCCCTGGGCAGGTAAATGAGAAGCAGAGACGGGCATCGGGGCCCCTTGCACTTGGACTCCGTTTTCCCGAATGTGGAAAAGAAACGGGGACGCTGATGCCTGGGGCGTTGGGCAGGTGCCAGGCTGGCGATGCCACTGTGGAGGCCCCAGGGACTTCCCAGGCTCTCCCGGGTGTGCAGTGCCCAGGCCACTTCAGACCGTGGTCTGTGCAGGTGGGTGAGGTAAGGTGATAGAGGCCAGTTGTGGCGGGTGTCTGAGATTTTGCCCTGCTTTCTGGAAAAACAGAACCACCCCATGGTCATGTCGGACCGCCTCCGTCAGCCCCCTGCCCAGAGCCTGGTGCAGCAGCCCTGTGGGTCTGGAGCAGCGGCGCTGGCACAGCTGGCCGTGTCTGCAGACTCAGCTAGGCGGGCATGGGCGGCAGCAGCAGGCGGCTCTTCCTTTGAGTGCAGGCCGAGATGGTGGCCAGAGACCGACCATTTTGATGTCTTTCAAACCATGTCAAGTCCTTGCCTGTGAGCCTTCTGTTGACCAGTCACTTACCAGAGAGGGATAAACTTTCTGCTGTGATGCCTCATTCCTGCCCTTCAGCAAGAGATGGTGAACCTGCGTCAGCAGCAGCCTGTGGCCTGATAGTCGTTTTACGCTGACAGCCCGCTGACATTCTAAAATGACTTTTAAAGATGTTTGGCCAGGAGAAAAAATCCCACCAGAAACCCATTCTTGCCTGCCAGTGGGATGAGCTATGGAACTTTCTGGACCAGGGGCATGACTGTGTCAGCCTTTCTTCCGTCCGAGTCAAGGACCTTGGGGTCTGGGGCACATTTATAGCTGTCACCAACCTGTGACCGCTGTGGCGGCAGCCACTCCCCACACCCTCCGAGCAGAGGCCCGTGGCCTGGGAGATGAGGCCGAGTGTTTGGGCCACTTTGTGGGGAGGACACGGGCAGAGGCTCGCCCCAGTTCAGAGCAGGGCCAGTGCTTCCTCGCTGGCAGACTGCTAGCCACAGTTTTTGCTTTTGGCCAAAAGCAGAGTGAAGCTGTCATTGTGCATCCTAATCAGTTTTTTCCTGAGAAAAAGCAATTTTTATAAACCTCAAGGTTTGCACCTCACAGTGTGAGTGTCACTGTGAATTAATGAAACTTAAAAAGCACTGCATTTCCCTTCAGGGACACAGGTTAGATCAACAGATTCTCACTAGTGCCCTTTTATATATATATATATTTTTTTTTTTCTCAATTGTTTTTTTACAGAGAGGAAGAGAGAGAGATAGAGAGCTAGAAATGTCAATGAGAGAGAAACATTGACCAGCTGCCTCTTGCACACGTGCACGCAACCAATGTACATGTCCTTGACCAGAATTGAACCTGGGACCCTTCAGTCCGCAGACCGACGCTCTACCACTGAGCCAAACTGGTTTCGGCTACTAGTACCCTTTTTAAAAATACATATTTTTATTGATTTCAGAGAGGAAGGGAGAGGGAAAGAGAAATAAAAACATCAGGGATAAGAGAGTCATTGATTGACCGCCTCCTGCATGCCCCCACTGGGCACCGAGCCTGCACCGTCCTGTGCACGGATGACGCTCAGCCAGCCGGGCCCACCAGCCAGGGCCCGCAGGCTTCTGAAAGCCTCCATGGCAGTTGGAGCTGACGGGCAGTCGAATGGTTTCTGTGGGAACAGTGGGGCGGTCCTGGCGTCCAGTGCGTGGGAGGCCGGGCCACTCCCTGCTGCTCCTCTGGGGCGCGCAGAGCTCTGTTCAGAGCGGACAGTGTTTGAAGATTGTTGCCAGTCTCCTGCCGGTTCCCTTATTGTCACGGCTAATACGTTGGCTCTTGTCAGGGGGAAGTTTGTTGCCCTGGAGAACATCAGTTGCAAGATTAAGTCGGGGTGTGAGGGACACCTCCCGTGGCCCAACGGGATCTGCACCAAGTGCCAGCCCAGCGCCATCACGCTGAACAGACAGGTGAGTGACGCGGGAGCGGGTTTCGTGGCTGAGGGTGCACATGGCCTGGAGGGGAGCTGCCGCTCGCAGAGCGTCCCGAGAGCCAGGTCCCAGTGTGCTGGCCGAGGAGGACCCGTGGGCACCAGCCCCCGAAGATGTGCCTGTGAGGCCGGCAGCTCTTGCCAGCAGGGGTAGTGCCGGCTTCCTGTTTCGTCAGCTTACGTGGAGGCAAACTTTCCCGTGGCTGTTCTGCCGCTCCGTGCTGGTGGCCTGGCCTTTCGAGACCTCGAGCCTCTGGATCCCAGGCCTGGGGCACCTGCCCAGGGTTTGGGCTGAAGCCGGAGGAAAAGAACCAGGAAAACGGGTTCTTCTGGCCTTTGTCGTTGAGGCCCTGCCCCAAGACAGCCCACTGTGTTCCTGCCGCTGCAGCCATGCTTGCTCCTCAGGGAACCCTGTCCGACTGGAAACCGTTCCTTCTCCCCCCCCTCCTCCCCCTCCTCTTTCTCCCCCTCCCCCTCCTCTTCCCCCTCCGTCTTTTCCTCCTCTTCCCCCTCCTTCTCCTCCTCCTCCTCTCCTTCCCCTTCCCGCTCTCCCCTCGTTCGTTCTTTCTGAGAACTATCCTTTCCTCTAGACTCTGAACACCTCCATTTTAGGTGAAATCCCAGTATGGTTCATTTGAATTAACTTATCGAGGAACCCCTCTCCCCGTGTACCCACTTACCCAGAGGTGTCCTGAGGCACGCTCTGAAGTGGCTCATTGTAAAGAGGTGGTCGCCACCCGTGGTCCGAGAGGTCTGGAAGGTTGGCGGCCGCTGTTCTAAAGCGTGTGTGTGTGTGTGTGTGTGTGTGTGTGTGTGTGTGAGAGAGAGAGAGAGAGAGAGAGGAGAGCCAGGTCAAAGCTATTTATTTTTAATTGTTATTTAATTTTAAAAAGGCTACTTATTTTTATGGGTTTTTTTACTTAGCCCATTGTTCTTAATTCTACAGAAATACAGACACGTGGACAACATCATGTTCGAGAACCACACGGTCGCTGACCGCTTCCTCGACTTCTGGAGGAAGACGGGGAACCAGCATTTCGGGTACCTGTATGGGCGGTACACGGAGCACAAGGACATCCCGCTGGGCATCCGGGCCGAGGTGGCCGCCATCTACGAGCCTCCGCAGGTGGGTCTGCGTTTCCCCGAGGCTGTGCGGCCTCAGGTGGTAGCTGCTTTTGTTTCGTCCTTGCCCTGTGTCTGTTCACACACACACACACGCACACACGCACACACGCACACACGATGCTTATTTCCTGGACTGTCGGAGAGGAAGGTCATGGCTCCTGAGTACTTCAGTGTGTTTCCCTGAAGGACAGGAGAGCCCCAGGATGGCCTCCCCGGGACAGGTACCTTTGTCGTCAGTAAACTGGACGTGTTCTCTCTCCTGCCATCAGCCGTCCACGTGCCTCAGCTGCGCCCAGTGTCCGCAGTCCTTCCCTTCCCCCTGCTGGCTCTCAGGCAGAGCGGGAGCAGGGTCCTGCGGTCTGCACCCCCGCCCCCACCCCAGCTCAGAACAGGCCGGCATTGCCGCTGCTGTTGGGCTGAACACAGGTGAAGGCTTTGGTGGGGTGAGGGCCTCAGGTTACTGTGTGTGTTTGCTTTTTACGACGTTGATTTTCAGAGAGCAAAAATATCGATATGAGAGAGGCCTCAGTTGGTGCCTCCTGCACGCCCCCTGCTGGGGATGGAGCCCCCAATCCAGGCACATCCCCTGACCAGGAATCGAACCAGCCATCTTGTGGTGTAGGGATGGTGCCCGGCTAACAGCCACACCGGCCAGGGCTGGCACTGCTGTAAAGTCACGTGGGCCCTCGCGGTGTGGCCGAGTTCCCGGGGTGCTGGCCCGCACACCGAAAGGCATGGCTCCCCGCCCCCCCCCCCCCCCCCCCCCCGAGCACTGCCGAGGCTGTGGTGTGATCGCCGGTCCGGGCGCCTGTGGGAAGGAGACTGGTGGGTGTTGTCTCCCTCCCCTCTAACAGCAGTGGGCTGTCTTTGGGTGAAGAAGTGAATATTAAAGTTAAAGAGGAAAAGTGAAGCTGCTGGGAGGATCCTTCCTTATGGCGAGGCGGCCAGTCAGTCACGGCTCACGCTCGTCGGTGGTTTCATGTTGAGCTGAAGGGCTGCTCGCACACATCGTGGATGTGAGTCTGGGAGCAGTGCCCGCTGCCAGGGGAGGTGTACTCGTGTCGGCACTTGATCATGGGATGGCGGGGTGGCTAGGCGCGGGATGGAAGAGGCGCTGCCCACGGGGTTCTGGGGACCTTCTGGTGACTTTGCTCTGTGTTTGGGGGAAATCGCCCATTTCTAAAGTCAGACTCAAGTCGTTTCCTCCTCCTGCCCCCTCCCCTGCAGGCAGTGCCGCCGGCAGTCTAGTTGCCAAAGTCTGACTGTTAGTTACGCAGACACCACGGGCCCTCACTGTTCCTGGCCTCGGTCCCGTGGGTCTACCTGCCCGGGGGAGCGCGCCACGACCACCTGCTTTATACACAAACCCGGTCTGAGGAGGCGCATGGCTGTGGCTGTGTGCCGGCCTGGGCTGTCTGCCAGGGCCAGGGCCTCCCTCTGTGTCTGAGTGCAGTTGGAGTGCAGTCTTCCTCCCTCCTGTGAGCATTTGCAGTGTTTACTGAGCTACCACGAATTGCCTTTGTGTGGTGCCCTGACGAGGGGACACTAGGTGGCAGCAGAGAGCCCTCTAAAAGAGCCGGGTGTTTCCCCGCTTCCCAGGCATTGGGATCAGTTCAGTGTGAGGCTGAGCAAGCGATCGGGGCAGGAACCTCTGGCGCCCAGACTGCTCATGGCCCCTCAACCCCACCGGGGCCTGGAGGTGCACCTCCCGCTCATTGGGGGCTGAAGCTCAGGCTGCATGTGTCGCGAACAGGGTCCTAGGGTCTGTCCCGAGTGTGACTTGGCCTCTGCTCTGAAGGATTAGTGGTCCCAGACGGGGACAGCGGCTCTGTGGCTCTCCAGGGTGGCTGGTGGGCAGGTGCAGGCAGGGAGCTGGGCTTGCTCGCTGTCCTAGCTCTGCAGCCATGCTTCTGCTCAGCACACTTCTCCCTGCTGACTGCAGCTGCCTTCCAGTGCGGGCTCAAGGCCACACGAGCATCACCTCCTGCTGGGCGTGAGCCAGCCAGAGTGAAACTGTTGATCGAGGGCGCTGTGCAACCAGCCTCGTCCCCACAAAGGACCCTGGGCCCGCGGAGAGCCTTCTGAGCTCGGCAGCCACGCTGGCGGTGCCGCTGCGACATCGGCTCTCCGTGCCCGCGTCTGGACGGGAAGCACGCGCAGCGAGGGACACGTGAAACGGCGTGGGCTGTGTGTCCTCTGGCGGCATGGAGTTCTCTCCGCTGCTGTTGCCCTCCTCTAGGCCAGGGGGCCCGGCACTCCTTCCTGTCAGCGACGCCCGGGGGAGGGGGCCCGCGCTCCTCTGAGCCACTCCTCTAATCCTCCCTCAATGCCCACAGATAGGCACACAGAACAGCCTGGAGCTTCTCGAAGACCCCAAAGCCGAGGTGGTGGACGAAATCGCTGCCAAGCTGGGCCTGAGGAAGGTACTGGTGGAGCTGGGCTCGGGGGGCAGGGGGGTCCTCCAGGAGGGAGCGTGCCAGCCCCGGGCCGGACTGAGCCCTCGGCTGCTCACAGCCGGCCGCCCGCAGTCTGATGCCTCGCTGTGTTACTGGGTGCCGATCGCTTTATGTTTTTCTGACTCAGCGCGATGCGGACATGTCCCAAGCATAGAAGGAACGACCCAGCGCAGGGCCGTGACATTTAGCTGCCACACCTCAGGCGGGCGCTCCTCCCTGCACGTGGCGCCTCTGGCCAAGGCCCACCACATGCTCACGCTCCACTCGGCTGGAGCAGGTGTGACCTCTGTCACTGAGCCCTGATCACAGTGGGGGCGGGAGGCCCTTAGGACATGGAGCTGCTTGCTGAGCCTGTTGACCTAGCTCAGTGTTCGGCAAACTCATTGGTCAACAGAGCCAAATATCAACAGTACAACGATTGACATCTTTGGAGAGCCAAATCTTTTTTTTTTTTTTTTAAATATATATTTTTTGATTTTTTTACAGAGAGGAAGAGAGAGGGATAGAGAGTTAGAAACATCGATGAGAGTCATCGATCAGCTGCCTCTTGCACACCCCCTACTGGGGATATGCCCGCAACCAAGGTACATGCCCTTGACCGGAATCGAACCCGGGTCCCTTCAGTCCCCAAGCCGACGCTCTATCCATTGAGCCAAACCAGTCTCGGCCATTTGGGCATTTTAAAGGAAAGCACAGTCTCCAAGTCCGCCTGGTCGTGTGTGCCGCAGCGGGTTTGAAGAGTTCTGGGTCAGGGTTGTGCAGGCGAGCGGCCTGGGCACCAGCTCGCTCCTCCAGGGCACGGGAGTGGGTGTGAGCCCGGATCCAGCCCGTGGACTCCCAGCCAGTCGGCTTCATGAAGGCTGGAGGCTCGCGGGCAGGGGAGGCCACAGACCATCACGGTAGCAGGACACACCTCGGGGCCACCCCGGCGAGGACCCGGGGACTCGGTGGGGGCGCCTAGATGCTGGGAGGGTCTCACCTTGCACCCTCCGGTGCTCCCTTCAGTCTCAGTTCCTGGGGTGCTGCTCCAGGCCTGGGTTCCTACCAGCACCGAGACACGCCGTGTGCTTGTGTCCAGGGACGGTCTGTCCTTTTTGCTGACCGTGGGTCCCTGCACCTGGCACAGTGCTGGGCATGCCTTTGGCTGGCGGGTCAGTGAGTTTGGCTTGTTCACCAGGAGGGTGGCCGCCTGGAGCGGAGCAGGCTGGGAGCCCAGGTGTGGCCTGGCTGCTCGGGGAGAGGCTCAGGCCCTGTCCTTGTTGGCAGGTCGGCTGGATATTCACAGACCTCGTCTCGGAAGACACCCGCAAGGGCACCGTCCGGTACAGTCGGAACAAGGTGAGGGCGGCTCGCTGACCGCAGCGGGGTCCACTGCTGAGTCTGGGTGAAGTGAGGCTGCGTCTGCTCATAGAGCACCCCTCCCCCAGACCAGCCTTCGGAGGCAGCTGGGGCCGCTGGTCTCCGGAGGGTCGTGAGGCCAGGCGCCGTGGGCATGGGTCCCGCCCCAGCTCCTGGCGTGCTGCCGCCCAGGCCTCGGGGTCTCGGGGCGTGGGGCCTAGCTGACCTGCTGTCTCCCCAGGACACCTACTTCCTGAGTGCGGAGGAGTGCATCACCGCCGGGGACTTCCAGAACAAGCACCCCAACATGTGCCGGCTCTCTCCGGACGGGCACTTCGGCTCCAAGTTCGTCACTGCTGTGGCCACAGGTAGTCAGGACTGTGGCGCTGTGCACCCGCTTGTTCCCCGTCATCCTCACGGACAGTTTCCTGAGGCGAAGAGACTGCGTGAAGCTCTGAGCTGAGGGGACCCTCCCTCGGCTCCACCCGAATCTCATCATCAGAACGGGGCTGTCCCCCTGGCTGGTGTGGCTCAGTGGACAGTGTCGACCCGCGGACTGAAGGGTCCCGGGTTTGATTCTGTCAAGGGCACGTGCCTCTGTGGGAGCATCGGTCCCTGGGTCTTGGTCAGGGCCCGTGGGGGAGGCAACTAATTGATGTGCCTCTTTCTACCCCCACTCCCTCCCCTCCCCACCCTCTCCCTGTCTTCCCTCCCTCCCTCTCCCTTTCTACTCCCCCTCTCCTCCCTCTCTCTTCCTCCTTCCCTCTCCTTCCCCCTCCCTCCCACTTCCTCTAAAAACCAATGGAAAAGCATCCTTGGGCTCTGTGTGCCGAGTGTGCTGGCTGGGCCTAGCTGGGGGCGGCCTCTCCTGAACCGGCAGTGCCTGCGCCTCTTCCCGCATCTGCCGCAGCCCCAGCCCTTCCCGCTGCCGCTGCCCTTCCCGCTGCCCTTCCTGCAGCCCTTCCCGCTGCTGCATCTGCCGCAGCCCTTCCCGCTGCCGAGCGCAGCCCTTCCCGGGCCGCCTGCCTTAACGCCTGTTTCTGCAGGGACTTCCTCGGGGCCACAGGCACATGTAGAGCGCGGCTCCTCTCGGCCTCCCTGGCCGCCTCCCTGGCCGCCTCACTCCGCTCAGCAGCTGTTGGCCCTCGGCCTCGCCTTCACGGCTCTCCCTGGAGGCTTGTGGGATTGGGAGGCGGAGAGCGGGGCCCTGGGCCATGCAGGTTTCCCGAAGGCAGACTGCGGCGGGTGATGCAAGTGCAGCCGGTGCTCTGGCTGCGACGCTCGGCCTGCTCTTCTCTCTCCCGCCTCCAGCTGACACCCCCCCACACACACACACACACACATCGGAACGAAAGCTGGCTGCATGAAAGCTGTAACCGATAGCCCAGGCTCTGGCTCGGAGCCGGGTTTGGGCGGATGTTGGGGAGTGCTCACCCCCTTTCCCTGATTCTGAGAGCGAGAGCCCTGGGTGGGGCTGCGGGAGGCGCTGCGGCAGCGGCTCTGTGCCCTGCGTTCAGGTGCTCGGGCCGCTGGGGGGCCTGAAGTTCGGTACAGCAGGGCCTGTCGCTGCCGGCTCTGTCTGGCGGAGCAGGTGGCTGCTGCCTGTCCCTGGCGCTCACGGCGTCTCTCTCGCAGGCGGCCCGGACAACCAGGTGCACTTCGAAGGCTACCAGGTGTCCAACCAGTGCATGGCGCTGGTGCGGGACGAGTGCCTGCTGCCCTGCAAGGACGCGCCCGAGCTCGGCTACGCCAAGGAGTCCAGCAGCGAGCAGTACGCGCCCGACGTGTTCTATAAGGTAAACATGGGGCCTGGCCGGCGGCCCCGCTGTTCTGTGCTTCCTTCCACCGTGGCCATTGGTCAGCGGCCTGGCTTAGTCTCAGCTGTGGATGAGGGCGTCCCGGCGGGCCTGTAACGAAGTGGGCGTGGCTTCCCTGGGTCTGGCGTTTAGGCACTAAATCAAACCAGGCAACGCGGACAGCTCAGTCTCTGAAAACAAGACGCGCGTCAGGGCCTGCCCGATGGCGCTGGAGCGTGCTCAGTGCGGGCTCTCCCGAGGCAAACAGCGGTCCCTCCGGGCCTGGGCTTCCCGGGAGCCGTAACCCTTGGCATTGAGAGGTGTCGCCCGTGAGGAGTGGGGCAGACCCCTGACGCCCAGGCCCTGCCCTCCCCACTCCAGGCCGCTGAGGGCTCACCTGGCACTTGGGCGCCTCTGTCTGAAGGCGTTCAGCCTTCACGTTTCACGGCTGTTCCCCTGGGAGGACTGGAGGCTGAGGCTTGCGCCACAGGCTTCCCCAGGAAGGCCTGCCACCCTCCCGTGTCCCTCTGTCCAGAGTGCGGCTCCCATGCTGAGCCGCCCTCCAGGTCCGGGTCTTTGCGGTCCGATCGGGTGTGCCGGGCCCGGGCACGAGGGCCCGTCTGGGTGTGTTGAGCTGCTGGTCTGTGGGTTAATGTGGTGTTTGTGTTGACTTCTGTTGCTGCCCTCACACGCCACAGCTGGTGGTGTAACACATGGCCTGTGACTCCCTGAGGCTGCGGGCGAGGCTCTGCAAAGCTGCGCACCTGTCCCCGGCCACAGCGGGTGGGTCGTGCCCGCTTCATCTGAGGCGGCAGCATGGCTCCCGGTGCCCGGCGGGCGGCTCCCAGCCTGACCCAGCGCGGCCTTGAGGGGCTCCTGTCGTCCACTGGGCGTCCGGGTGACCACAGGTCACCTCCTGATGGTGAGGGCAGCGGGGCAGTAACCTCCGCTTGTGGGGTCTGCACGTCCATGTCACAGCTTCTCCACGTTAAGAAAGGACACCTGCTAAAGCAGGGTTCCAAACCGGCTGTTGGAGGCGGGTACGCTTCCTATCGAGCCCCTTTGCTGTTCCTGACCTGTAATCCCGTGAGGGTCCTGTCGGGTTTCCAGGGGCAGCACCGGTGCTCACTCCCTTGTCCTGTTCCACCGTAAAGGACGGGGGTCAGGATCTCCCTGGGAACTGTGAGCTGGCTGCAGTGTTGCTAACTTTTTTCATATATATATATTTTATTGATTTTTCACAGAGAGGAAGGGAGAGGGATAGAGAGTTAGAAACATCAATGAGAGAGAATCATCGACCAGCTGCCTCTTGCACACCCTCTACTGGGGATGTGCCCGCAACCAAGGTACATGCCCTTGACTGGAATCAAACCTGGGACCTTTCAGTTCCCAGGCCGATGCTCTATCCACTGAGCCACACCGGTGCCGGCCAGTGTTGCTAACTTTTGCTGGCGAAGTACTTTCCCGGCCGCTGTGCGCCGTGGCCGAGGGCCTGTGCTCCCTCTGGGTCCCGCCGCGGTTGGTTCCGTGGTTGTTAGGCCTGGGAGCGGAGCAGCCCGGAGGGTGGAGGCCGAGGAGGCAGCCACTGTCAGGGCGGTCCGGTTAGCGCCTGCTGGTGGGCGGCCGTGGCAGCGTTGGTCCGAGGGCCTGAGAGACGTCCTGCTCTAGCCTGGGAAGCAGCAGGTGGAGCTGCTCCTGCATTTGCTGCTGCTTGTCTGTTCATTCAGGGTTCGCCTGCCTTTTCCAAAGCTGGGGTGCCACCGATTGGGGGGGTGCTGCTATCCCAGCACCAGGCCCGGTGCCCCGACGCTCACAAAGGCAGAGGCCCTGGCTTCTCCGCTGTCTCCGAGCTGGTGCCCTGCGTCCAGATGTGGCCGTGGCAGGGAGGGAGGCAGTAGGGACACGATCTTTGACTCCCTGTCTTGCCAAGGAGGAGACAGAACGGCCGGCACTTGGGCAGCTGCCTGACTTTGAGCGAAGGCTCTCCTCCAGCTGCTGCACCGAAGGTGCTGACGCCGTGGAGATGGCGGGTGGCTCGGCCCTGGCAGAACCATTGAGGGAAGGCGTGCGGGCAGGGGCAGGGGGCGGCACTTTGTCTGCTGGGGGAGCACAGGTGTGGGTGGGTGGCTAAATTTGGGAGAGAATAGCAAGACTCAGAGCACGGCGTTAACAAAGCCCCGGAGGGTACAGCGAGCGGGTGCTGCTGGGCCGGCGCCCAGCTAGATGTGGATGAGTCCAGGCGGCCCGTGGTGGAGCGGTTGCAGGTTAGGTCTGAGGGGCGAGCGCGCCTTTGGAAATGGTGCTTCAGTTGGATTGGACTGGACTCTGCCTCTTAGTCTCCTCCATCGAGAAACTGCCGCTTCGGGGCCCGGGCCCCTCAGCAGGCCCCACCTCTGGCTGCCTGCGGAAGCCGGGGAGCTGGCCCACCTGACCACCAGGAACCCCGCGTAGGACACTCCGTCCCTCCAGGCCGAGGGGAGAGTCGTTGGGCTTCACGGTGCAGTCAGACTGTGGCTCTCCAGGAGGTGTCCTCTGACGCCGATGCGCGTATAGGTGGCTGCACGTGGCAGCTGTTGGGTGGAACCAGGACACGTGCTGTTGGCAGCTCTGGCGGTGTGGACAGAGGAGGGGAGGAGGGGGTGGATGCAGGTGCCATGTGTTGCAGCCAGGAACTTCCATTTCTAAACCAGGAGCGAGGCCAGAGGGCAGAGGGCAGGGGCTGGGTTTGACGGGCTCTGCATCTTGGGAGGGTGGGTGTGCCGGGTGCCATGCTCCATCCAGGCTGGTGTACGAGCTTAATAAACGGAAGCTTCTATGTAAGAGCCCGCAGCTGGAACGTACGGACGTATAACTTACGTGTGGTCTGTGAGTCTGTGAGTGACGTCTACAGTGTTCAGTGAGGATTTCCACAGGAAATAGGAGTCCCTCTGTTGTCACAAGCTTATGTGTAAGGCTCTGGTGGAACTCGGCATGTTGGACATAAATGGGGTTTAATTGTCACTTGACGATGGATGGCCGTGTGCTGGCCATCTTCCCCATAATCAAACTTCACGTTCTGCGCTGACAAAGCCAGCAGTGCGGCTGGGCCGATGGGCGGTGGTTCTGCTGTGCCCGTTTTCTTAGGAGCATGTGAGTGCTCAGGCCCGTCTGGTGGGGTTCTGCGGTGTGAGCGTGGAGATGGAGCACTCAGCCGGCGCGGGGCAGCCGGGGGCGGGGCTCCGGTGGAGGCTGTTTCCCTGCTGAGGCTCCTGGGCCGGAAGGTGGAAGGAGGAAGGCGGAAGGCCGGGTCCTGCCGGAAAGGCTCGCTTCCCTTCCTGCTTCACGCCTCAGGAGGAGCCGGCACCGTTTCCCCGGAGGCGGCATGCAGGGAGAATGGTGGCTGGTCAGCAGACCTCGCTCACCGTGGTTTCCTTTCAGGACATAGACAAGTTTGGCAACGAGATCACCCAGCTGGCCCGCCCGCTGCCCGTGGAGTATCTGATCATAGACGTAAGTGAGCGCCTGGCGTCCCGAGGAGCCCTTCCCTTAAAAACAATTAGGTGTCAGCGTCTCCCGAACCAAAGTGCGGCAGAGCACCGCCAGCCGGTCTAGCGTGGCGGGTGCAGGTGCTGCCACGGTCGGTCCTCGGGGACCCAGCTGTCATGGCCTTGAGGGGGGGCAGCGGGGTTTGCTGGGTGGAGCTCCAGGAGCCGAGAGGGCACCTGCTCCCCGCCTCTGCCCAGGGTCTCAGCTCTGCTCTGGCCTCAGCTCTGGTCACAGATGAGGCCACAGGCCAAGGCGGTGACTGTTAGCTAATGACAGCCCGACAGCGGGCAGCAGGCCGTGCTCTGCCGGCTGGGACCCGGGGGCTGCGCTGGGCTCGGGACAGCATGTGAGGCCGGCCTGCATTGGAGGGGCGGGCCCAGGAGCCGAGCCCTCGCTGCTGCCTCCGGGGGACAGCTCCCCAGAACACGGGGTGGCTGGAGAGGTGGGCCCATTGCGGGATGCACCTCCCTTCCCGCCCGACTCCCTGACCTGGATCAGGCCCCTGGACTGAGGACTCACTGCGGCTCTCCGACCCTCGGCTGCTCTGCAGGGCCCTCAGGCCCAGCAGTGGGACAGGGTCCGCTCCTGAGGTGCCTCCTTGGCCTCCGCTGAGCCCGGGGGTCACCCTGGAGGTCATCCAGGCCACAGAGAGCAGCTGGGGGGGCTCATCAGATGGAAGCCCCCCCTCGGCTGACCAGTGGGGCTGAGTTTTATCCTAGAGACGGCAGACAGCAGCTGCCTGGGGGCGGGGTCGTCTCGGAAGTGACTGGAAGCGGTTCTCAGCACGCTTCCTCGGGTCACGTTTGGCATTTCGCTCAGGGTGCCCGGTGGTGCCCATCCTCGTGGGCAGCGAGGCCTCTGGCTCGGCTGCTCTGCCCTTGAGGGCCGCCCACACCGCTCATTCTGTGGTTGACGGTTTGTCTCTTTGTCCTTAGATCACAACCACGTTCCCCAAGGATCCAGTTTACACCTTTTCTATCTCACAAAACCCGTTTCCTATCGAGAACCGCGACGTTTTAGGGGAAACGCAGGTAAGCTCTTCCTTTAGCAACCGAATCCGCAGTACCTGCTGCCTGTCTGTCAGGGCCAGGTCGGTCCCGGCCCCCGACCCGGCCCCGTCGGGGACAGGCGGGGGGGGGGGGTGCCTGTCGGCCGCGAAGCCCTCCGGGGAGGCTCCTGGGGCCTGGAACCATCCGTTCGTCTCCCCTCCGGCGCCGGTCCAGGACTTCCATAGTTTGGCCACCTACCTGTCGCAGAATACCTCCGCCATGTTCTTGGACATCATCTCGGATTTCCACCTCCTGCTCTTCCTGGTCACCAACGAAGTCATGCCTCTGCAGGTGGGGAGCCAGTGTGCCTCGGGCCAGCGGGGTCCCGGGGGCTGGGCGCGGGGCGTCCTCTTCCTCATCCTCTGGAGAGACCGGCCGTCCCGTGTCCTGCGGGCTTGTTGATCCTTCACCCTCAGCGTCTGCATACAGACAGTGACGGGGGGCCCTGTGCTGGGCTGGCCTGCTTTGTTGAGCGAACCACGAGGGACGAGGGGCAGTTAGGTCAGTCCCCGGCTGAGCCCTGTCCCAGCAGCTCCAGAACCACAGCTGCTCCTTCCCTGTCTTTCCCCCTGAGCCAGCTGCTGTGGCTGTCGGCTGGCGGGTGCCCAAGCCCCACGCAGCTGCAGAGGCACATGGAGGAGGCAGAGGGCAGGTGCACAGCGGCAGTTGCTTTCTGAGCCATGCGGGCCTGGGTGTGGGCAACGTCCAGCCAGAGGCCCCGCAGGCACCCGGTGTGGGTGGCCTTTCTGTCCAGGACCCCAGGAAGCATGAGAGAGGAAGGGGCGGTTTCTCCTGGGCCTCTGATGCTGGCTCAGCGTGTCCCCGGAAACAGTGGATGGAGCAGAGGGGCCCCAGGGAGCCCAGGCTTCCCTCTCAGCTGGCCCGTGGCTGCTCTTGTATTTCTCTGGCTCTGTCTGCCATCCCACACCAGGCACCGAACGCCCAGAGGTGCAGCTCCGGGCCCAGGTGCCGCCTCCACCGTCTGTGGGAGGGGTGGTGCGGGGCGGCCCTCCCCGTCGGGGCTCCTTCTGGGCAGCAGGGACCATCTGTAGTCACTGCCGGACCTCACCCCTGTGGGGCTGCGCGCCCCAGGCCTGGGCCGTAGAGTGCGTATTGAAGGGTGGGACTGAGAAGGTCCGGAACCTGGGGGAGTGGGCCAGGAGCCTGTCATGTGGCTGCTGGCAGATGGCTCCGTGGCAGCGTGGGGCGGGGGAGGAGGGAAGTGCTGGCCCGGTGTTCTCCTGTGTCTGCACGGGAGCTGTGGCAGTGTGCGTTCCCGCGTCCCCTCTGGAGTGCGTGACTCGGAGGGAGGAGTGTCAGGCAGGAGCCGTCCACCGCAGGCCGCGCACGGACCCTCTGTTTCCCCGCAGGACAGCATCAGCTTGCTGCTGGAGGCCGTGCGGACCCGGAACGAGGAGCTCGCCCAGACCTGGAAGAAGTCGGAGCAGTGGGCCACCATCGAGCAGCTCTGCAGTAAGTGCTCCCTCTCCTCACACCAGGACACCCTCGGGCTCCTCAGGCCCAGCGGCCACCCGGCGCAGGCGCCTCTGCCAGGACCCGGGCTCGGCTGCTCCGGGCCGGGAGCAGGTGCTTGGGGTGCACTTGGACGCCAATGGCGGTGACCGCGGCGTCCTCTCTCCCCTCCGCAGGCACAGTTGGGGTGCAGCTTCCGGGCCTCCAGGAGTACGGAGCCGTCGGGGGCTCCTCGCATGCCACCACGGCCGCCATGTGGGCCTGTGAGCACTGCACCTTCATGAACCAGCCGGGCACTGGCCACTGCGAGATGTGCAGCCTCCCCAGGACCTAGGGCTTCGGCCTCGCTGGCAGGACTGGGCCCGCCCGCTCTGAAGCCAGCGACGTGGAGCCGGCCGCTCCTGTGGAGGCCGGGGCTGCCCTGTGGTCTCCGGCCCCGAAGCCTCTCACACCAGGCTTCCCTGGAGGACGGAGCCGTCCCAGCAGAGGGGCAGATGGCCGCAGACGCCTCTCGGGGGGAGGACTGGCGCCCCGACATCTCCGCCTGCAGGGGGGTGCTTGCTGCTGCCCCAGCCTCCTCCGTCCTCCGGACGCTGTTTGCTCTTGCTGGCCTCTGTAGCCTGTTCTCTGGGGCAGACCCTGCTGTGGGGCCACTTCCCCGCCCAGTAGCCATGGTCTGGAGGGAACGCAAGTGGCCATGGGCTCGCGGCCTCCATCTGCTTGGCCTGCAGGTCACTTTGCTGCCCGCCCCTTTTCCTGCTCTCACAGGCCTCCAGGTGGGATTTTAAAGTTGGCATTGGTTGTAATAACAGTTATCAGTAATTCCTGCCCCAAAGACTTATTTATTTTTCTAAAGATAAAACTGCAGAAAAGGGGAGTGAGAGGGACTAGCTTCCGCTTCCTTCCCTCCAGGGAGTCCCTGGGGGAGTGCAGGGCGGTGCGTGCAGACGGGGAGCCACAGTCCCTTCTCCCTGGAAGTAACCTCAGTGCCTGAGATTTCTGCCGGGTGCACAGCTTCGGCCGCCGAAGCCCAGGCCATCCGAGCAGGGCACAGCCTGGCTCCCTCCAGGCAGGCCCTCCAGCCGCCAGGCAGCTGGCCAGGCTGCTGGGGTGAACGAGGTTGCCCAGGACTGGAAGCTCTGGCCCCCTTAGTCCCCATACAGTTGTGGGGGCCTCGCCCGGCTCTGGCCTCTGACACAGTGATGTGGCCGTTGAGACTGGCCTGCGGGGAGAGGGGGCCTGGCCAGTGTGAACCACGTGGGTCTGCCAGAGCGTTGGAAGGTTGCTGCTGTGCTGATGGTGCAAGTCTGGGCCACCCCACATGTGCTCTGGGTCCCCGCACGTCCTCGGTGGCACCCTGCCCCAGGAAACTGCGGGCACTCTGATGCCTCTTTGCCTTAATGAGAGCCACTGAGCTGCTCTGCACCTGCTTAGGAGCCCCACATCTGCCCTGGGGGGCCGGCCTGTGGGCGCCTCCCCACCTGCCCAGTGCAAGGAGGCACTTGGTGTTGGCTGCAGTGGGCACGGCCCCGTCTGGCACCTCCAGTGCACAGCACGGAGTTGTCTGCTTGTCGGCGGGTGGGGATGGAGGGCTGGTCTGGGGCAGGAGGGCAGAGCACAGCCACCGGCATGGACCGCGGTCGCCCTCCCAGCAGTCCTGCCGGGGCCCTGGCCTCTGGTCCCTGCGGCCAGATGGGGCTGCATGGAGCTCACGCCGGACCTCACTCGGACCTGCTCAGACCTCGCAGCCCCAGGCTCTCGATCTGCCCTGCTAGCTTCTCACCAGCATTCTCACTCCCATCCGGCATCACGGAATTCCCATGTTCCTGTGTCTTTTAGCTAAAGAAAAAGCATTGTGATTCTCTGCTTCTGGTTTTGAGTCGCTCTTTGTTCAGTAATGCACTTTATTTTATTGTCCAAAGAGAGTCAGAGCTCAATGTTAAGGTGGGAGGCGCCGTGGTGGGTTTGATCCTGCGCAGGGAGGGCCCGTGCCCTGCGTCCCACCTGCCCTCGTGTGAGCACAGCGTCTGCTACAGGCCCCAGCGCAAGGGTGACTGCATGAACTCTGCCGGCCGCCTGCCCTTGGGGCTCCCCCGGCCCGCAGCCCACGCTCCTGCAGGGCCAGTTCACATGTCCATGGTCAGGTGGGGACCACAGGAGCTGAGGGACCCCTGCCCGGGCTCCTGGGCTCTGCTCCCAGCATGGGGGAGGATGGGGAGCTGAGAGGGGAGCCTGGTCTCCCTGGGTGCCCTTCCTGACCGCCCTCAGGTGCCACTCCTGGGCCTGCTGGGACAGGTGCATGCGCCGGCAGCAGGTAAAGGAGGGGGTCAGGAGCCCCTCGGCTGCAGGGGATGGGCTAGAGGGACTGCCTCTCTGTGTGGTGCCAGCCTTCGTGCACCGTTCACGCTCCTCCGGTGACTGCTCCCCGAACATGCACGTGAGACCCACGGCTGGTGGGCAGGCTTCAGGCCACCAGGCCCCCCGACGAGGCTATCACCCGCAGAGGCTCGCACAGCTGACCACTCCCACGTCCAGGTGTGGCTGCGGTGTAGGCCGAGGGCGCCTGAGGCCGCTGGACTTGGTTCTGGAAGTGAGAGGGTTTGTGGCTTTGCCCGAGTAATCAGGCAGGTGGAGGGCACTGCCTGGCAACCATCTTGGCCGCCCTCCTACCCTGGCACATGTGCCCCATCTGGCTGTGCTACCTGTGAGCAGCGCCTGGCACAGCCTGAACCGGAACCCCCCCACACCCCGCCCCGAGTCGGGGGCTGTGATCCGTCCTTCGGAAGGTGACGCAGCCTGCAGGTGTGGCGTAGAGACCACTGGCTGCCCCAGGCTCCCGGCCCGGAGCACGGAAGGCCCTGTGTCCCCCTCGGACTGAGCCGGCTAGAGCCCTTTGCCCGTGCTTGACCCCCTCGGTCAGCGCTCCAGGCCCGTTGGCGTCTGGGTGGGCAGGTGAGGCTCGTGAATCCTCGAGTCACCGGTGTGGGCCGGCCTGGGCTTGGGGCCAGGAGCCTGCTAGCCGAGCAGAAGGTTGTGGGCAGGAGGGGCCGCCCATGTAAGGGCTGGAAAACTCACAGGCTGGCTGAGCAGAGCAGCTCCGAGCACTCGTGTGTAGGGTGTGGGGTTGGGTGTGTGTGTGGGTGCTAGAAAGGAGCATGGCACAATCAGAAGGCCGAGGAGAGCTGGTCTTGTGCCCTGTGGCTGCCCCCCCAGCGTCCAGGACAGCAGGGAGCAGAGGGGGGCCAGCATTGTAAACACCAGCTGCCACCGTCCACCAGCACCGAGGAGGACGGGCTGGCTGCTGCCGGGGCTGCGTGCCCGCCCACACCTCAAGGGCAGGGAGAACTTGTGCTGCTGGCTCTGTTTTGGCAGGATCACCAGTCTCCCTGGTGCCAGCTTAACTTCCAAGCCAAAGAACACTTGGCAGCTGGGCCCCGTCAGCGTGCCATGCCTGCCGTGCCCCCCATATGCCTCTCATGGGTGGCCTTGGAGATAGTCCCACTCGCTTTAAAAAAAAAAAAGTTTTATTTCAGAGAGAAGGGGGGAGAGGGAGAAACATCAATGATGAGAGGGAGTCATTGATTGGCTGTCTCCTGCACATCTCACACTGGGGATCGAGCCCACAACCTGGGCCTGTGCCCTGACCGGGAATCAAGCCCTGACCTAGTTCATGGGTCGGTGCTCAACCACTGAGCCGTGCTGGCTGGGCCCATTTGCTTAAAGGAGGGGGGTGTAGTTGATGTCTGCAGGCACCTTTCAGGGTGCTCTGCACACAGAGGGGCCCCTCTCTGGTCAGCACTTCTCCAGCCCTGGAGGGATGAGGGCAGCCCTGTCCACTCACCCCCAGGATGATTGCTGGTGATCCCCCTCATTTTCTTCCCGACCCTGCCCCCAACCTAGAATCCTCTGGCTTACCCCACTGTCCATGCAAACCAACACACCCACACTGGTTGGTGTCCAGGCACGGAGGGTGCTGGCTGTCCACTTGGCTCAGCGGGTCAGAGGGAGGGAACCCATCACTAGGCCCAGAGTCTCTGGCTGTGACACAGCCAGCCCGCCCCGGACCCGCAGCGTCCAGGCGCTCCTGAACCATAGCAATCGCTGTGGGAGCGCCCGCCTGCTCCGAGGGGAGCCCCGGAGGGCGCTGGCCTGGCTCCAGGGCGCACGAGGGGAGCGGGACTTGGTGCCGGGCCTGCGCGGGCGAGGGAGATGCTGCGGACCCAAGAAGCACTTCGGGCCGCGCAGAGGACGGACGGGTGGGCGAGGACAGACAACCGGGTTCCCCGCGTTTGCTAAGCTGCTCGGCGTCCCCCATCTTTACTGCAGCCCCGTCCCCGCCGCGCCCGCGAGCGGGCCTGCAGCCCGGACTCCAGGCCCCTGCCCCGCCCCTGCCCATCCAGGCCACGCCCCGTTCCTGCACTGGCCCCGCCTCTTTCCTGTGTCGGTCACGCCCCTTTCTCGCATTAGCCCCGCCCCGTCCCTGTGTGGGCCCCGCCCCGCCGCGCGGTTTTACGGCGGAGGCCGCGCCGCAGCGTGGGCGGCCGTACGGCGCCCCCGCCGCCTCCTCAGCCGCCTCCTCAGCGGCTCCCCGCCCAGCGGCCTCCCCGCGCCCCGCGCTGCCCGGCGGCCGCCCGCACCATGGCCGCGCCGGCGCCGCGCGTGCACTACCTGGCGGGCTTCAGCTGCCCGGTCGGGGGCCTGGCGGCGGGGCCCCGCCTGCTGCCGCTGGGCGCCGAGGTCCTCCTGGCCGCCGGGCGGGAGCTGGTCTACGTCTACGACCGGGAGGCGCGGCAGCCGACCGTGAGCGCGGGGTCCGGGCGAGGGGGGCGGCGGGGGTGGCCCGGGGCGGGGCGCGTCCGAGGAGCGCGTTCGGACCGGAGCCCCCGCTGCCCTCCCGCGGCCGCCAGGCGGCGTACAGGTTTCCCGCGCAGGTGTGGCACCTGGAGGTCCTGGCCCCCCGCCGGGCGCTGCTCGCCCTGTGCGCCCGCAGGGGCATCTACTGCCTGTCTTTGGACCAGGCCCGCAGGTACGGAGGGTCGCCGGGCAGGTTGCCATGGAGACAGCAGGTGCCTCTCGGCAGTGACACCTCCCCTGGTCCCCAAGGTCTGTGAGCCGGAGCGATGGGGCCGACGAGGACGGCGAGGGCCCGTTCCCCGTGACCCCTGTGGACCCGGACGCCTGCGTGCTCCCCGACGCCTCGCTGTGCGCCTTCACGGTGCTGGGCGACCTGCTGGTGGCGCTGGCGCAGGGCCCCGCCCAGTGGAAGGTGCGGCTGTTTGAGTGTCCGTGTCCCGGGGAGGACGGCGGGCCCAGAGGCCAGATCGGGGAGGTGGA